TGTGAACGTACTTAATGCCACTGGATTGTACACTTACAGTGGTAACAATGGTAAATCTTACGCTATGTGTATTTTACCATGATACAAAACAACTTACAAACAAGCAAAGAATTAAGTAACACAGCTACCAAGTAGAGAAGCTAGGAGTCACACCCTGAAGTCCTGCCCCAAGGCCTTGTTCTTGACCATTTGCCATTTTGTCTCATCTGCAAGTGGAGATACTGACCTGGCCGAAGACTACAGAGAGACTGGGGCACTGGCCATCAGGCTGGGAAAGATGGGTTTATCCTGAGGGCCGCTGGGGAGAGCAGGGCAGGGCAGGGTTTTAAGCAGGGAGGGATAGCAGTAGATTTAAGGATTGGAAAGATCCCTCAGGCTTTTAGGAGGAGGGGCTGGAGGTGGGGAGGAAGCTGGGGCAGGGCCCAGCCAAGAGCTGTTGGTGGTCTGAACTAGGGTGGGGACAGAGGAATGGGACGAAGTGGGCCAGTTTGAAAGACTTGTGAAGCAAAATAGAAAGTTGTGGAGGGGAGGGAGAGAGGCAGGAGCAAGCTGTGACTGCTCTCACTGGGCTCCTCCTGGCCTGCCCACTTCAGCCTCCTCTGACAGCGGTCCTTCCACTCCCTTTCCCTGACTGGAGTCTCTGGGAGGAAAAGCTCAGGGCGCAGCCTCCTCTCTGGTCCCCAGGGGGCAGTGTTGCAAAGCCTTCTGAGAGTTGGCCCTTGCTTCAAACTACCTGCAGTGGGGGGCAGATGCTGGCTCCCCTCTGTCTCTCCTCCCAGCCTTGGCTGCACCCTTCCCCCACGTCCTTTTTTCCAGGAGCCAAATTATTAATAACCGTAATCCCTCATGCCCCACACTTGACACTTTACAAAAACAGTGATACATCGATAAACTCACGTGGTTCTTCCCCAAAGACAAGAGTGGGGAGTGAGACCCTTCTTTTTATCCCTCCACCACCATTTTATACTAAGAAAACTGGGGACAGGCAGGAAATGGGATCTGACCAATGGAAGTGTGTTAGTGGCAGAACCAGGGCTAGGAGCCACGGGCCAGCCAGTGCCTGGTCTAGAGCCTGTGAGAGGGCACCACCCCACAGCGCCCATAGCTGCTCACAGTGGTCACCCAGCCTGCCTGCCTGCGCCCCAATTTTGCCCTGCAGTTCCCTCCCACCTCAGGGGGCCTTCTCGGTGATTTATTCCCATGGGGTTTGTCAGTCAGGTCAGACTGACCTGGCACGCACCTGCCATGATTTACTTCCTCCTCATCCTCTGTTTCCAGAATTACAAGAGTCATCCCATTACCATCGTCACCATATTAATAATGGCTCTCGTCTGCTCAGCTCTTAGAACTTAGCAAGTGCTAATCCATCCATTAGCTCATCTGAGCCTTATGACAGCCCTGGTCACCCAGCCGGGTCTTGGGAGAGTTTATAGTCTGCTGGGATAGGGAGGCTATGCATGTACCAAGTTGAAGAGAGGGTGAGATGGTCGGGTTTATTGCAGATTTGCCTGGAGGTTTCCTGTTACCTCAGATAAGGAAACTGAGTCTTTGAAATCTTCTTACTGGGTCAGTTTTGAACTATCTGATGGCCAAGCTCATGCTCTTTCTGGGGCTTGGGGCTGCCACTTTCAGGGAGGGATGCAGAGTTTCTAGCATAGTATTCTCGCCAGGCTGAAGGGGGAACCTGGTGGGAGGTGGATGCAATTGGACCCAGGGAAGGTTGTTGTTGGGGCAAAAAGTCTTCCCGGGGAGGAACCTCCAGGGTGGTGTAAGCTGTAAAGAGCCCACAGCATGGGCTGTGCAAAGCTGGCTGTGCTGAGCCAGGGCCGGTGGGGCTGCATGGCCAGACCAAGTACCCACCTGTCTGTAGGCCTATCCTTCTCCTCAGATGATTGGGGAATTTCCTATGTTCCGATCTAAGAGCTGTGCCAACAAAGAGGGATAAGATCCTGAACTGTTGGCAGGAAGGGGTCTGTTTCTCATCCACCAGAAAGAGAAACTGCGGCCTAAGGAGAGTGAGTGACTTCCTTGTCATCTCACCAGGCCTCAGTCTCCCAGTCTGAAAAAGGAAAAGGATAGATTAAATGAGGTCCCAGTTTCTTCCCACTCTGACCTTCTAAGCACCATGCATCCATCCTTGCTGTCCTTGGCTCTGATCCCAGCCCAGGCTGTATATTTGACTTGTAACTCTGGGCAAATCACATGGACTCTCTGAGTGTCAGGGTCTTCGTGGTGAGATAAGTATGACACAGCCTTCCTTGGGCAGATTAAATGAGCCATGCATGGGAGCATGTCTGTGTAGCTTGGGTTTTGACTCCAGGCAGCATCCAGGGGCAGGACTCTGACTGAGGTCCTCACTTGTCTGCCCAGCCAAGGGTTCATTTATAGACATCCGCTCCCTGGCTGCCAGGCCAGAAGGGAAGTGGGAGCAGAGGTGCTGAAATAGCAGTTTGGAGCCTTTTTCAGGAAGGAGGCACTGGCTACCCTTCCCCTTCCCACCCCTGCCCCCCATCTTCTGGACATTCTCACACTGATATTAATAACAGTCCCAAAGGGGGATGGTTGGATGTCACGATCTCCATTTAACATAGGAGAAGACTGAGACCCAGAAAGGGGAAAGGACTTGCTGCAAGTCCCATAGCTAATTAGTGACAGAGCTGGGACTGGAACTGGAGTCTCCAGTCGAGGACTCAGGACTATTCCCTTACACCCAAAGTCAGATAGTTCTATAAAATGAAGTGTGCTCTATTTTTCTGGGTTTGCAAACCTCCAACATGGGTTGGCTTAACGAAGGGAAAGGCCTGGGTTCTGCAAACAGCCCAGGGTTTGTGAAACGGCATCAGGCTTGGCATGAGACATAGGACTGTGCCCACATCATGGGGCCCCAGAAGCCTCAGAGCTCTGCAAACTGTGCTGGGCTATGCCAACAGCATGGGACTCTAAAAAAGGCAACAAGTTTTGCAAACTGTGGGAATCCACAGATGGTGTTGCCATCTACACACACCATGGGGCTCTGTAAAATGCACAGGGCTCAGCAAACCCCATGCTGGCAAGTAGTAAAGCTGGGGTGCCAACCAGGTTGGCTGAACAAGCTGGGACCACCCACAATGGGGCCTCACTGCAGGATTAGCCCAAGAGCCATCTGAAGACCTGTTAGCCTACCTCTGAGAAGCTCCTGGGTACCTGACCCTTGCTCCAATTCCAAACTGAGTTCAGGAATATTCTTGGACCAGACTGCGTCAGCCTGTGCAGGCTGAAGTGATGAATGAAGAACACTCATGTCTGAGGTTCCTGTATGTTCCATGCCTTGTGGGGTGTTGTGTGTTGTACATTGTCTCACTCAAAGATTGATGACATGAATGTAGCCTGCCAAGCTGGTCCCAGCATATTCCCAGACCAATCCATGTATAGAAGTTTTTCAAACCTCTGAAACCAACATGGAGGCACCTGAGCTTCCAGAAAGTCTAAAGGGACCTTCTCTTTCTTAACTATGCACCTGCAGTTTGGAATCTGAAGGTGGTACCTCTGCTGGTCTCTGTGAGGACTCACAGCGCTTTCAGTCTGAAGGATTTAGAGAAGTAGACCCAATTGGTTTTCTCAAGCAGGAGCCTCAAGCTGAACGGGGCCTGGTCTTTATATCAATCTGAGTCAACTATTGACCTTTCCCAGTATAGTGGTCATGCATTCACATTTCTGGTTTCTTAAAGACTCAGTCATGCCACAAGTACCTATTGAGCGCCACTCTGTGTCAGGATGCACATTGATTATTTCAAATACTCCCCACTTCCCACTAGCTCCTTCATATAGCCCCCAGAGCCAAGTGGGACTGATGTCTATTTCTCTATCATTGCACCCTAAAACTTGGATTCCAAACCTACATCCCCATTTCATGCCAAGACCCTATTCCTGGAATTGGTTCAAGTTCACTTCTGTATCTTGGATTTGGGGAAACCCAGAGGTCTTCCTCAGAAAATGCTGCCTGGGTAGAGGAAAAAGCCTGTTTCAATGCATGGCCCCACCGCCTACTAGCTGGGTGGTATCTGGGCAGTTGCTGAGACTCAATGCCTCATCTGTAAAATGGGAGAATAAATGCTTGGCCTATGAGGTCAATAGGAGGACCTAATGGGGTCTCATGTGTGAGAATGCTGAACTAGCTGGAAAAGGCAAACAGGTATGTTTTCTCTTGCTGTCCTGTTCTGAGCCCTGGCTTCCTTCTCTGAACTCCAGAGCTTCAGGTCTTTTTTTTTTTTCTCACTCACTGAACTTGCACAGCCCCTACAAGTGAGGGGCCAGCTGTCCCTTCTTTATGGATGAGGGAAATGACACTCAGAGAGGTGCAGAAACCTGCCTGAGGCCACACGGCCAGTGAATGACAGGACTGAGAAAGAGGCCCAGGTCTGTCTGGCTCCAAGGTCTCCATCTTCAGCCTTCAGTCCAGAAAACTCTGGAAATGTCATATTTACCCTTCTGCTCCCCAACCCCCTCCACCAAGATGCCTGTACTTTATGGAGCTGCTACCATGAGTTCCCCAAGGTGGGCTAGCCATTGTGATTCCTGGTGAATGGACTTCCTCTTGGCTCTGGATCCTCAGAGCTCAGAGAGGAGATGGGGGTTTGGTGAGAGGGGATGAGATCTTGCGGGAGACAGGGATCCCAGGAAGGGGGCCAGTGGGGGAGAACAAGGGCTCTAGATGGGGCTCATGGAGGGTGACAAAATTTCTGTGAGGGAGGGACAAGAGCTTGGTCAGGGACAGACTGAGAATGGGAATATAAGAAGAGACTGGAGAATCGGGACTGAATGATCCCAGGGCATGGGGATCATTGAAATTCCCTCTCCCTGCCATCTCTCTCCTGCTAACAGAGGAAGTGAAAATATCCAGGGGAATGCTGAGGCATGAGGCTGAGGGGAGGCGACAGAGCAGCCTCCTCCCATCAGTAGGGCTGGATCTAAACAAACCCAGCCTCCCACAGAACTCTGGCACTGGGCTGTCCCAGCCAGGAATCAGAGGAATTCAGAGAGACAGAGACAGAAGGAACAAGTGGCTGCATGAGGCAGGCACTTGGAGAGTGGGGTCAAGTTTTGCAGGAATTCCTAACCCATCTTGGAAGAGGTGGCTGCGGTCCAGTGTGGCCCAGGCGGCATCAGCCTGGTGCCTGGAGTCTCCACATTAGTGCCTCCCTTTTAGAAGTGGCTCGCGACTGCTGTCTCCAGGGGCCTCCCGATAAGGTCTCACTCCCTCTCTCCTGCTCAGCTCCACTCTTGAAATTGAAATACGGGCTGGAATTCACTGCACCCCAAAAATCATGGGACCCAGGATAGGTAAGTCTAGATGACGTAAGGAAGGGGCATTGGGAGGGAGTCTGGGGGCTATGTTCCCAGTGTGGAGGGTGAGGAGGTTGTAGAGCCAAAATGGGTGAACCGGGGTGAAGTCGGGTGGGATGGGGGGCTTGGCGTTCCCCATGCAGAGCCAGACATAAGGAAATATAGTGAAGGTGTATTGAATGAATGAGTGAATAACCAAAGGGGCAGGAAGGGATACTGTTTGCTCAGCTGGAGGCAGGGAACCCAGCCTATGCTCCCTGATGACACAAGGCTGTTGAAAGGGCGGTGCAAATTTAGGCCACTGAGCCCCTCACCGAGCTGAGCCCTGTTCTCCCTCTGAAGTAGGCAGAGATACAGACAAAGCAGAGAAAAACACAGATAAAAGTGTAGTCAGAGACAGAGCAAGTCCAGAGATATGCAGTCAGACAAAGGCTGGGACAGAAGGGCGACAGGACAGAGGAGAAGACAAAGACCAGCAGGTGTCTGCAGGAGCATGCAGGGAAAGGGAGGGAGGTCAGCCCCAGAGAGCTGGCTGCAGAAGAGACAGGGAGAAATGAAGAGAAGCAGAGATCACGTGGGAGAGAGAACCAGAGACAGAGACAGGAGAGAGACAGGAGACCTGCCACGAAGAATCTGAAAGATCAGCAGAGAAGAGAAACAGGTTCAGAGAGAGACCTGCAGAGCCAAGCCTGGAGTGTGACTGAAGCACCACGTGGAGACGGTGGCGATTCTGTGAACAGAGCACCCAGTTGAGCATTTCTTGGGCAGGCAAAGAAGGAGGAGGAAACAAAGGGTTCTTCAGACGGGGTGGCCCTCCGGGCTGGCTGCCCTGTGGTGATCACTTCTGGCCTCTTTCTAGCTGTCTGTCCTCCTCCAGCTGTGTTAGCCTCACCCCCACTCAGGCAAGACTGAACTTGCTCCCTGTCTCGTGCACGCGACAGTAAGGGCTTCGTTGGCAAGCTGACGCACCTGGGGACCATGGCATGGCAGGAAGGGTGGGATGGATGCTTCCTCTAGGGACCTCACAGGAGAGATGACAGTGAGATCAGAGTTGGACGGATTGGTTTGGAGATGGGTCACTGACAAACCAAATTCCCCCTCAGCCTTGGCTCATGGCAGGATGGGAGGGTTGGTGATCTTATAGGTATGGAAGAAACTAGAGACTTTGGCTGTACTGCGCTTGCCCCCTGCCCCACTGTTATTCTGACCCCTGCAGGGCTCAGTTCTGGAATATTCTCTAGCTGCCCCCACATCCCACACATACAGCAGGAGGCTGACCCCAGCATCTACCCAGTGGGCCACCAAAATCTTGCTTCCTGAGCTCTAACTTAAGCTGAGAGGCTAGTCTTCCTCCATGCTCTCTTTCTGGTCTGAGGGCACTCTGAGGGATGTGGGAATTCAGGTGGGGCTGGGTACAAAGTCTGGATCCTGGGAAAAGAGCAGGGACCAGCTTTTCTGAGGGAGGGAGGCAGCTCTACCAGCCGGGGGCTGACACACAAAGAGCAGTCAGGGTCCGATCTGGCTCTTGGCCTAGCCCCACCACCAACTCACCACATGTCCTTAGGCAACATGCAGAGCTTCCCCATCTGTGGGGGAGGAGTTGGAGAAAATGATCTTCCAAGGCCATTCCCATTTTGTGGTTTCAGAGAAGCCACTTTCCTACTTCTGCCCCTTTGCTCAGCTTTTACCTCCACCAGGAAGGTATTTGTCCATTTTTCTTCACCCATTCTGGTGAAATATGCTATTTTCCTCCTTCAAATTTGCCAACTCTCCAAATGCCAACTCCTCCAGGAAGCCTTCCAGACCAATTCTCCCAGCTGGAAGTAACCTTTCTCATATATGCTGTTTCACTTTTCTTTTTTGAGGTTCATCTTTTCTTGTTCCTAATATTGTTTCTGCTGCTTTTGAACCCCCCTGGGTTCAAAGTGAGCCAATCTAGGGCAGACAGGTAGGGCAAGGGAAAGAACCAGCAGTCCTGGGTTAAAATCTGAACTCTGTATCACTGGCTTTATGAGAATGAAGTGACAATCTCTCAACCTTTCTGATAGTCGAGGAAACAGATGCTCAGAGAGGGCAAGTGACTCACCCAAGGTCACCCACCAAAGGAGCAGCAGAGTGGGGTCCAGAACCCAGGTTGTCTTGATGCCAAAGCTCTTTCCTTTCTCTGCCATTACCCTCAGGGCTCCCACCTCCCTTCCACAGACCCCACACTAGTGAGACTCCACCCACTTGGGCATTTCTCCACTGGTTCCAGACAAAGCAAACTATTCTCTGTGCTAGTGACTGGGGAGTAGGCAGGGTTGGGGATGATTATTTCATCCCAGGCTAGGCCTTGCCTACTGGGCCAGATCTCAGGCAGCTGTGAACCAGATGTCAAGCTAGCCTAGAGCCTACAATTGGGTGCCAAGCATTCAATGCCCAGTCTGCTTTCTGAGACCCACTGTCTTTGTGCAGTAGATGGAGGGGGTTGGCCACGGTGGTCGTTTGGTCTCTTCCTGTACTGAGAAGCTCAATCTTCTGTGTCTGCAAGGAGCAGTGCAGCAAGGGCCTCTCTGTAGGGGAAGAGATCTCCCCATCAGTGTTAAGGGAGCCTGGCTATTTCCAGGGTGCCAACTTGAGCTTCAGCTGTACCCTGGGGATCAAGAAGAAGTAAAGACATAAACTTGGTTCCAGCCACCCCTCATTTGCTACAGCCCAGAGCCCTAAGCACTAATGCTTGAAACAATGGAGAACAATGTCAGTCTCACCAGACTGGGGGCTCCCTGGAGGTGGGGCCACATTTGATTCCCTTCTTGAGGGCCCAGATCTGAGCACAGGCTGGGCAGAGGCGGGGCATTGGGAAAGTCACGGTACATAGACTGTCCTCCTTCACTCCATGCCTCCCCCCATGACATTCCTTCCTTCCCTCCAACCTGTTGTGAAAGCCTACTCTCCTTGAGGACAGGAGACTCATGATATGGAGTGAGGTTGGGTATGATAGGGCTCCAAGGAGTAAATGTAAGCATGGAGAAATGAGCTGGGACTCACGGTTAGGGGACCGAGCATGGCCAAAGTCAGTGGCTACCTGTCTCTGAGCCTCATGCTCAGTGTTTTAAGCTGAAGGAGACTGATCTGAATTCCCTGTGGGCTCAAGGCTCGCCCTCCCCCCAGGCCCTCCTCATTATTTTTAAGGTCATCTTGGGTTCAGATAGGATAGCCAGGGCCAGAACTGGAAACAGAAAGTCCCAGCACAGAGTGCCTGACCCAGCTTGGAAACCACCAGAAAGTGCTTGGCCTCCTCCCCCACCCTGCACGGATCTCCTTCAAGAAGCAACAGCTGGAAGGCTTGCAGTAGCTGGACCTCAAGCATGCTATTGTCCTCCCAACAGACCACCCAAAGTCCTGCTAGCAGGAATTTCCCAAAGATGGCAGCCAAGCCCTTCCTGGCTTTGACTCTTCCTCCTCCAGGAGCCCACCAGGCCATGCTGGGAACTGGAGCACTAAGGGGGCCCACTCCACCCCCACCCTAACCTGGGCCCCTCCTCTCCAGGCCCTGGCCTTCCCTTCGCCCTCACCCAGCTTAGCTGAATTCAACAACCATGTTTTTAAGCTGAGCCAGGTCTTGAAAGATAAGAAGTGGTTTGCTGGGGAGGAAGGACACTCCAGGCTGAGGGTACAGTACGTGCAAAGGCTGAGGGGTGAAAAGAACAGGATGAATTTGGGGAAGGGCAAGCATCTACGGGGCCAGAGAATAATGTTCGCTAGGGGTGGGTAGATGAAGCGGGAACAGTTCCTGGGGGCCTTGCCCTCTTGAGGCTGAGGTGTCTGTACTCACATGTTGCGGATGGGGTGGGAAAGGAGGAGGGGGCTAACTGTTGTTGAGGACTGCAGTGTACCCGGCACAGCATTTTCCTTCAGTCCTACAAATACGCCACGAGACCGGCACTCTTCTCTCGCTTCCAGAGAAGGAAAATGAGGCTTACAGGGGTTACATAAACTGCCCTAGGTCACATAGCTACAATGTAGCAAAGCAAATATTTGAATCCAAAGTCTTCTGACCCAGAGGGTTTCAGCAGGCACTTGACATGATCCCTCGGGACACAGGACGGGACAGGCTCTGCCCTAGGGAGTTCACTGCTTAATCAGGGGGACATAAGTAGTGCAGGAGACTGACCAGCCCTGTGGCCCAGAGCAAGGGCTTAGGGAATTGGCCCAGGAAGGGGTTTTATGGAAGGAAAGACAGCTGGTATGGGCTGCAGGAGCTAGGCAAGGAGGACCAGCAAGCCGAGGGAATACAAAGCAAGGAGGTAAGAAGGGCTCGACGCAGGGGTTGGCCACACTGGCCTCCTTCTACCCCAGCACTTCCAGAGAGAGCTGTCTGCCATTGTTATGAGGGACAGATTGCCCAATACTTGCCGCGGGGGATATTTCCCTTCCCAGGCTTGGGCTGTGGGGGCTGTGTGTGCATTAGTGCTGGAGGCTGGTGGATTTTCCAAAAACATCTTGGCGCCTTTGGAACACTGTACCCTCCCCTGACCTTGGCATCTGACCACAGTTCCAGGGCGGGTTTCTCTTTCGCTCTGTTCTCTTCAGATGGGGCACATGGCAGAGGCGTCTCACTCTTACTGGGCAAGTTGCCCACTTGTGGTTTCTGTTACCTTCTCTCCACTCATGTCTCCAGACAGCCAGAGATCTGGCTCCAGCCCATATCCCCTCATGGGCTCTCCTGGAGCCCGTGGCCTCCTAGGCATTTCTCCCTTGGTGCCCCCTGGCCACCCCAAGCTCACCATGGCCAAGGCTGAGCTCACCACTCAGTACCACCCTATAATCCTGGCCTTCAATGTTGGCATGTCCAGATGCAGAGCTGTGCCTGTCCCCCCTCCACCCCTGCCCCCAGGATTTCTCAGCCTCCTGCAACCCCCATAGCTGATTTTCCATGAAGTCCTGCCCATCCTACTTCCCACTGTGGTACCTTGGCTTGTTACTCTCCATTCCCACTGCCACTACCTGACCCAGGCCCCAGAGTCCCTTGCTGCTCTGGACCCCACCCCTGCCTTTGCCCTAATCCCTGCCCACCACCTGACTTCTCCACTTTCCCCGCAGAGACATGGAGGTCTTCCCAGGAGGCCAAATCGGACCTCATCCTTGGGCTCAGAACAAAGCCCAGCCCTACAGTCTGGCATTCAAGGCTTGTCAAGTCTGGCTCCTCCAAGCGCTCTAGTCTCACCCCCTCAACCTTGGCACCGGGGCTCTAGCTTTGTCAGACTGTTTGTTCCCTGAGCATTCTTTGTGCTTTGATACTTCTGCCCTTTTCTCTGATGTTTCTTCCTTTAGGAAGCTTTCCAGAAACTTGCAGTCTAGGCTGGGGCCTCTGCTCTGTTTCTGTAGGCTTGAAACTCCTTGTATCACATCAGTGAGCACATTTCACTGTGATTCTGTGTTAGATGTCTGCCTCCCTCCCCCCACCCCATACATACACTGGGAGCTCCCTGAGGACAGGGACTGGGGCTTCTGGTCTCTGGGTCCCCAGAGGCCTGCCTCAGGTTGCTGTCAGGATGTGTGGAATAAATCTTCGTTGTGACATCTAGAACCAGCAGAGACCAGTTCTTCCCATATGGTGACCCTGGGCAAATCATAGCACTCTCTGGTCCTGTTTCCTCATTCCTCAAAGTGTTAACCTAGCCCTGGCTTCCTGTCCAGTGGACTCCCCAGGCCCAGTGTTGCTGTGAAGTCACAAGCAGGTGAAGAGGGTCCATCAAACAGACCAGACAGTCACCCCCCCCCCCCCAAAGAGACTCCAACAGGGCAAATTGCCACATGCAGGCCCATAAGCTTGGACCAGCTGAGTGTTGGCATATGAGAATGGGGGCCCAGTATTGCCAGATCCGCTAATCTTTCAAAAAGAAGCAAAAAAATCTGGAGTTTATGTCAAGTTTCCTGTTTTTAAATGTTGGCAACCAGCTTAAAAACACTGAGAAAGCAAGCATTGTGCAAGCCCCCCAAAATGTCTAGAAGTCAGATGTACCCCCCAGGCAGGACTGCCATGTGCCGCACCACTCCAGAGGGCACTATTCCCTTTGTGGTGCACAGCCCACACAACTGTACATGGGCCTTTGGCCAGGGCCTCCCCATTGTAACCTCTGCCCTATACTCTATCTCTGCTAGTTCCTTTGGTGGCTTTGGCAAAGAGTGTGGAGGAGAGAACTTTCGTTCTCTTGCACAGGGAAGTTATTAGGAAAAAAAAAAAAAGACGTTTGAATGCAGCTGGTGAGATGGGTTGGGGAGAGGACAAGAAATGGCAGAGGGAGGCATCCAGAGGGGTCTGTATTGCTTCAGGGATCAGAAGGAGGTGAGAGAGTGACATCAGGGCTGAGTCTCCCACAGGAAGGAGTATGAGTTATTCTGGGGCCTGGTGACCACACCTGGAAATAGATTCCCTAGTGAGTTTGGGGCAGAGGCTGACGAAATTGCTACTTGTGGGACATCCTGATATTGACAAAGGGTGTTATCCTGTGTGACCCTCACACAGGCTTCAGAGACAAGGTTTAGTATTCCTATCTTGCAGAGGCTCAGTGAAGTCTACTTGCTGGCCCAAGGCCATACTGGGTCTAAGTGATCTTTGATCTTGCTCTCTCTGCTGGAGACAGGCTCTTTCTTGAGAGAAAGAGTCATTGCCCTGACCCCACCCCCCCTGAGTTCTCAGGATGTGGGAACTGTCACATTTCTCAGCAGATCCCTCCTGAAAGTTCAATTCTGGGCCTTGGTGATGAGTCCTGAACTCCCACCATACTTAGGTCCCCCAGAGTATAGGACTTAGATCCCCACATGTCCCCCTTCCCTCATTATGGTTGCTGTTGGGGGCCCAGGAGTCAGATAGATCCAGGTTCTGGTCCAGGCTTTCCCATTTACCAGCCCCAGGACTCTGGGTAAGTTGCTTTCCCTCTGTGCCTCAGTTTCCTCCTCTATATCATGGGGTCACAACAGCTGTCTCAAAGGGTTGTCTGGAGGATTGGTGAGGGAGCCCAGCCTAGCCAAGCAGAGCACATAGTATTGCTTGGTCTGTGATAGCCCCTCAGACAAGCTTCTCTAAGTCCCTTCTTGTAGAGGATTAGGGTGAGCCAGAGAGCTGAGTCTCCCAGCCTCCCAACTTTCCAGCCTTCCTGGGTTGAACTTTTTCTGAATTCTCAAGTTCCAGATGTGGTAATGTTCCTTGCAGTCACAAAGCAAGTATGGAGGCCTGTCGGGAGTTTGTGTCAGGATAGACAGCTAACGGAAAGACTGGCTGCCTGATGGGGAATAAAACAACATTTACTGAACATCTGCTATGTATTGTATCCATGCTGGCTCCCCACATATTACTGACATAACCTGTTGGTAAGACCAAGTTTACCATGATAAGGGATAATACCACTTCTCAAAGCTTTGGCACGATTCAGAGTGGGGAGGCAAGGTCAATATTTGTTGAGAATTGAAAGTTTGTTTTAAGGCAGGTCCTTTAGTATGGGGAGGGAGGTGGAAGAGGGAGCCTTGACTGGGATTGGGTAAGAATCATGATACAACAGTTTGTTGGTGGAAACAGAAGATAAGGATTTTGTGCACAGAGATTCAAAGAATCAGAGGCACACACTCTGTTGATGGTTTCCCTTGAACAGTCGAGCAGTCTTTCAGGAAGTTCCTGTAATGAACAATCAAGCCATTTGCTTGAGCTGGTCAGTCTGGGAAGAGTAAGAAGAAAAAACGCTAATGAAGACAGTGGAATTGCAAGGTCAAGTTAGTGCAGACCATAAGATGTGGTTCCAGGCTTTCAGGGTCCAGGCTAAACATGGGGTGGAAGGATCTGATTGTCGGTGGGTGCTTTGTGTACTGGGATGTAGGGATTACAGGCCCTGTCACAGATGAGAAAGCAAAGGGGCCACTGGTCCAAAACCACACAGCAGGATTGCAGCCAGTGGGGATTGAAACCTGGGCAATTGCTTCTAAAGCCAGTGAGTGTGCATGGAGGGAAGGGGTTCAGGTCCTCAGGTCTTGTGGTAAATTGGGGCCTGGATGAAAGGGAGAGACAATCTAGGGATGGAAGAAGGAGGTGTTAACTTGGAGGGGTCAGGTGCACATGGAAGGGAATGGGTTCAGTTTGACCTTGTGGCCTCGGAAGCACTTGAAGGTTATAAGGAGAGGGGAGGGCAGTCGTCCTCAGTGGGGCCTACTGTATCCCAGGCCTGAGCCAGCCCCCCTAGATGCCTCACTTAGATGAGGAAACTGCTCAGATGTTTCCTCTGAGATGAAAGGGCATGTCCAGGCTCACACAGCTGCCGGTGGCAGAGCTGGGGTTCGAGCCTAGGTCTGAGGACTTTGCAACCTACACTCAGCCCCACACCTGCCTGGAATTTTCTCTTTTTCAGCTGGGAGGTGGCTGGAGGAGGCCAGACTTTGAGCCTTTCCAGCAAAGAACAGGCAGAGAAAAGTAGTCCTCTCTGTCAGGCTACTCTCTGAAACCTTCGTCCCCATCACCATGGATCCAGCTGGTGTGAAGAATCCTGACTCTTGTCATGGAGGGGGCAGCGAGACCCCAGGCCAGAGCCCAGAGGCTCTGCCTCTGCCTTGCAGACATTCAGAGTTTATCCTTCAGTGAACTGAAGGTCTCTGACAGACATTCAAGGTGACTGTCTGACTGGCTAGCTAGCTAGTTTAGCTTGTCTGAACAGACAAGTCTTCTGAGAGACAGCCAGACCAATGACTTACCAGCTGGTGGACATGAGTTGGCCTGTGCGTGGCCAGCCATGTAACCAACTGACAGACACACAGACCCCTTGCCTGCCACTCTAGGGGCATGGGCTCCAGCCCTGGGAACACCTGGCCTACCTAAAGCCCCCAAACCTGGTTGCTCACCTGGGAGAGAAACAGACTCCGATTTTTTCCTGGAGCCTGACTTCCTGCCTCTCCCCTCATTCCCACAGAATACCCAGTCCCAGCCCAGGTTCAACTCCACAGCTGCCCGCTCTTCTGTCAGGGATGACCCCTGACAAAGTTTTCACCGGATGGGAAGGTCCTCAGAGATGTCACATGAGGAGGACCTACTTTCCTGGTCTCAGGATCCTCCTGTCGAGCGGAGCTTTGTCCTTATTCACAGAGTTGGACTGTTTCCTGCCAGCTCACTCAGAGGCCTCAACCCACAGGAAGAGCTTGGAGAGGTCTGGCTACCTGCCTGACCAGCCCCGTTCAGTGTTCAGTGATCAACTGACCACCCTGCGCACTAACTGGTGGCTGCTTTCAGATCCCAGGGGCCACAGCTTCCCTCTACTAGACTACAGGAAGGTGGAACATTCTAAGCTGGTCCACTGATCTTCTGTCCCCCTCCCTCATCCATATCCTGGACTTCTTTCAGAGCTGGGGCTCCTGGTCAGCGACTTCTGCCCGCCCCCCAACTCAGCTCCAGCCTCATCATCTGGCTGGCCTGACCCCTTGATGTTATTGGGTGGGCACTGGCCTGGTGGCCTGGTTAGGCTTGGTTGGGCTCAGACAGAGAAGAGCATCTCCCCCTCATCCATACTGTGCAAGGAACATGGAGTGATGTTGAGGTTAACACCTGGGCTTGAGTCCCTGCACCAACATTAATCAGCAGAGCTAGCTACTTCTGAGCCTCTGTCCTCGTCAGATACAGAGATAACGAGAGCGCCAAAGGCACAGAGCTATGGAGAGGTTTGCATGCATGTGAAGGCTGAGTTGCATGTAAAGTGTGTAGCCCAGAATCTCTGCTGTAGTAGGTGACCGTCTATGCTGGTGAGTGGAACCAGGGCTTGCAAACGTCCTATCAGCCTCCTCTGGGCAAGTTCACCTGGAGCCCCCTCACCTCCTTTTCTCCTCAGTGACCTCCGCAGAGCCCATCCCACCCCCACTTCACTGGGCCAGCCCCTTATCTCCTCCCGGTCAGGTGTCACTTTTGTTTCCATATCTCCTTGTTTCCTCTGAATACTTACATCCCCCATCGGGACTCCTCCCCAGCCACACACACTTTCATTTCCTCAAATTCCTCAAGCTATCTGAATAGACATTTCTCCAAAGAAGATAAACAAATGGCCAAGAAGTAAGTGAAAAGACTCAACATCATTAGTCATTAGGGAAATGTTAATCAAAACCATACAAGATATCACTTCATGCCCACTACGATGGCTATCCTCAAAGAGACATGATAGTAAGTCTTAACAAGGATGTGGAGAAATTAGAACCATCCTATGCTGAGGGTGGGAGTATAAAACAGCGCAGTCACTTCGGAAAACAGTTTGGTAGTTTCTTAAAAAGTTGAACAGAGTTGCCACATGACCCAGGAGTTCCGCTCCTGGCTACATACCCAAGGGAACTGAGAACACATGTTGACACAAAAATGTGTACGATATATGAATGTTCACAACACCTGATACAATCCAGATGTCCTTCAACAGATGAATGGATAAACAAAATGCGATTTACATCCACAAAATAGAATGTTGTCCAGCCATAAAAAGAAAGGAGGTACTCATATGTGCAACAACATGGAGGCACCTTACACATTACGCTACGTGAAAGCAGCGAGGCGCGAAATAATTACATATTGTACTATTTTGTGTATATGAATTTATATGAAATATCCAGAATAGGCAAACCCAGAGAGCCAGAAAATAGATTAGTGGTTGCCAGGAGCTGGAGGGGAGGCAGGACTGCTAACAGGTATGTGGTTCTTTATTGGGATGATGAAAACGTTCTGGAATTAGTGGTGATGATGTATAGCTTTTTGAATATACCAAAAAGCACTGAATTGTGTACTTTAAAAGGGTGAGTTTTATGGTATATGAGTTATATCCCAATTAAAAAGAAATTCCTCAGGCTCTCAGGTACCTCGTGTGAGGAGCACAAACCCTTGGCTGTGGTGGTTCCAGGCCTCTGTAGCCCCTCCCTGATTCTGCCTTCTGGGTCTGGAGATGGAGAGTCCCTACCCCCCTACCTGGGTCAGAGGTGTCCTGAGTCCATTTCCAGACTCTAGAAGGAGCTTGTTGAATGAGGGGAAACTCCTGCCAGGTTGAGAAACATAAGAAACAATGGAGGAGGCTTCCGCAGGAAGTGGGGCCCCAGGAAAGGAGGAAGGCCAAGGTGGTGGGGGTTTCCATCTAGGTGGAGGCATGGAGTTTCCCAAGGCTGGACTTCAAGCTCCTCACCGAGATTAAACATCAGGAGGGGCGCCTGGGCTCAGGTCATGATCTCATGGTTTGTGGGTCAGAGCCCTGCGTCGGGCTCTGTGCTGACAGCTCAGAGCCTGGAGCCTGCTTCAGATTCTGTGTCTCCCTCTCTCTGCCCCTCCCCTGCTTGCACTCTCTCTCTCTCAAAAATAAATAAACATTAAAAAATTAAAAAACAAAACAAAAGAACGTCAGGAGGCCCCAGGAGATGCCCTTGTGGGGGTTCAGCTTTCCTCTCACTGCAGTGAGTAAAATGCTGACATGTTACCGGTTTCCGTGGAAAAACCCAGACATGCCTGATGGGGCCAAGGGTCCAGGTTCTAACCATAGCTCTGCTTCCTGAGTCATCACAACACTTGGGGAGTTCAGTTTGTCCAGGGTGAGGGAGGTAGTTAAATGGGATGACCTCTGAGGGCCATTTCTGCACCAACTAGCAATATGGTTTGATTCATGAGTTAGAGATTGGGCTAGTTAGCTCTATGATTACATGCAGGGTGGTGCCCTGTGGGGGTGTTGGTAACTGTTTTGAACTACTCCCAGGAAAAGCCTTTACCTGACCGTGGACCAAGCCTTGACCCTGCACCTGACCCTGAACCTGTGATCCCACGCCGAGCCAGACAGACCCACAGCCGCTCAGCCTCTATGAGCACCAATGTCTCACAGCTGCAGGCCCAAGGGGGTCTAAGTCTGCACATTCTTACTCCTGGAGACCTTGCTTGAAACTTATGTAGTGTGGCCAGCAATGCCTCCCTAGAAGGAAGGTTTATGCTGGGAAAGGAATGAAGTCACTGTGAGATAGGTGGTTCCCGTTAGGATCTGGCCAGCATGGGCACGTGGGGCACATACCCTCTTAGGAAGGGCCCTCCCATCACTGGGACTCAGGGAGGCTGAAGGTGCTCAGACTCTCAGATTCTCACCAACGCCTGGAATACCTTGGGCGACCTGAGTCAGGGACATCCTCTGGGATTCCATCTCTACCCTCACCTCCTGGATGTCTGTCCCACAGGTCCAGTGGGTGAGGAGCCCCGGATGTCAGACAAGGACACCCAGGCCATGATGAGCACAGAAGACATACCTCAAGGCAAGGCCAGCCCAAACTCTCAGGACTTGCAACGAAGTGTGTTCTATAGCATCAAGGTATCTCTCGGGGCCTGCCGGGAGCAGGGGTGTCCGGACCTGGCAGAGAAGGCCGTGTAACTCCAAGCAAGCTGCTGCTTTTCTCTGAGTCTCAGTTTCCTCGTCTGTAGAATGGGTGGCTGTGAGAATCAAAGGGACAATCTACCAAAGCATTTAGCTTAGTTTTGGGCATGTGTTCCCTCCTTCCTGAGAAGAAACAAGGGCTGCCCCGGAGGCAGTGGGGCACCAGTCTCCTTGCCTCCCCATGTCCCTGCAAGGAAAGAGAAGGACCCCAGAGATTCTATCTGTATGAATATCGGGGAGCTCTGGCTCCACCAAGGGCAGCCCTAAAAATGCAAGTGACCCCTGGGTGCCGGGGCCTGTGCCGAGTGACGTCTTGTTTAGTCCTCACAGTCACCCTGAGTGGCAGGGATGTTGTCCTTGCTGTGTGCAAGAGGAAACCAAGACTCAGGAACAGAGAGACTGTTTTTAAGCTCTGGAATAAACACCCTTCTTTGAAGCAAGTTTTCCTTCTCCTGGGAATACTGCCAGTTCACCAGGAGGGAGGCCAGACGTTTAGGGTGGAGTTGGGTGGGGTGGGCAGTTTGGGGATTCGGTGTGTGCACATGGTCTCCCAGAGGAGCTCTAAGGGGAGAACCAGGTGGAGTGAGCAGGGAAGGATCCGGGAGAACTTCCTGGAGAAAGGCGACAGGGTGGTGGAATAAGGAGGACGGTCCAGTCTAGCCCAGGTGGGCTCTGAGGGTCAGAGTGACTCCCATCATTCTTGGCCCCACAAAGACCCTACTCTCAGTCATGTGGGTCTGAGGTGCACCCAGGACAGCTTGTGTAGTTTTTAGGCCTGTGTGAGAAGCCATGGGCTACTCCAATAACTCTCTCTCTCTTTCTCTCGCCCCTCTTGTTCTTGGCCCTCCCGCCCTTACTCTCTCTCTCTCCTGTGTGTCTATCTCCTCTGACTCTATTTCCCCATCTTTATTCCTTGCTCCTCCCTTCCCCCAACTCCGTCTCTGTCTCCCAACCACCACCCTCTCTAACTGCATCCCCACCTGTCTCCCTGCTGCCCCGCCGGCTGCCACCGCCTTGGCCCCTCCGGCAGTTCTTCGTCCTGTGCCACAGCCTGCTGCAGCTGGCACAGCTCATGATCTCCGGCTACCTCAAGAGCTCCATCTCCACAGTGGAGAAGCGCTTCGGCCTCTCCAGTCAGACCTCAGGGCTGCTGGCTGCCTTCAATGAGGTACTGGCCCTGGAGCAGTCACAGGGGTGGGCGTGGAGGGCGACTCTCACCTGGCCTCCTCATCCTCCTCTCTCACCACCCTGACATAGGCCCTTCCCCTCCTGGTGCCCACAGGCAACCCCATTACAGCTTCCTCCCCTAAGATTTTCTCCTCAGCCAGCTCCTTCCTCATGTTCCGGTAGAGAAACTGACCTCTGCCTCCCTGTAGCGTCAGAGCACTGGCAGTCCTGCCCTCGGGGGCACTCTAACGGGGGGTATGGGGTATTTTAGAGCTAGTCAGAATTCCCGTGTCCACCCACTCTCCCTTTGGTTCCTTTACCTTTCCAGGGACCTGGCTGTTGCCTGTCCCAGGAAGGACTCAGAGGAAGTCACTTCAATAGTAGAGGGAGAGATTTAAATTAGATCAAAGGCAGAACTGTGGACCAGTGGGTGGTGGGGGAAGGGAGCCATACCATGGGATGAGTGTCTCCTCAGAGTTGCCCAGAGATCCACAAGTCTGGGGCCGACAGCCAAGCGACGAGGAGGGGACAAGCTACTTTGGGGGGATTTAGAGATCAGGGTCCAGCTGTGCCCCAGCCCCCGCCTCCACCAGATGTTTTCCACCTCAGAGAAGGGCCACTGTCCACAGTACCCTTTCTCCCCTCCCCACAGCAGATTTATGTGCAGTTGTCTCCCCCTGGGGTGATGTGTCACATTCAACCCAAGGCCTGCCGACTACACGGCACCCTCAGATATCTCTCAGACCCCACCTCCAGATGTCAGAGGTGGGAAGGAAAGGTCACTACCTAGCTCTGGGACCTTAGGGAAGCCACTCCACCACTCACCCCGCCCCCCCAACCCCCCAGAGCCTCAGTGTCCTGTCTATAAAATGGAGAGTGGCTACCTTCTCAGACTTGGTCCACCTACCAACTTTCTTGCAGATACTGCCTCAGCACCCCCCCCCCCCCCACCAGCAGCGAGGAGCCTGGGGCTCAGGGCGAGTGTCACAGCCAAAAAGCAATGGTCAGCACATTTCAGCTTCTGGTCGTAGAGCCTGCCCCATCGCTGCAAGCTCTCAAGTCCCCTCCAGTGCCCACATCCTAAGTTTTTTATTCTAAGGCTTGAAATTCCAAGAAATTCTTAGTCCTCTGGCTTTAGATTTTATTTGTTTGCCTCAATTGTGATATCCCAGAAACTTAACGACCCTTTCCTTAACTGTCCCCCCTCTTCCGTGTTCTAACGTGGGGTCCAACCCATTTTCCAGAATGAAATTGAACTGCTAGCCTTGTCCGCTCTTCCCTCATTTCTCTCCCCTAATGGGACAGTGGGGACCCTCCTAGGGGGACCCAGAATCTGCATAAGAGGGGCCCAGATGATTCTCATTCAGCCAGCTAGTCCTTTATTCGGATGGGAACCCCAGATTGGTGACAGAAGTGAGGGTGGTGCTGGCCTCTGGCAGCTCTGCTCCATTCGAATGGGTCCCCTCATCCCTCGGCAGGTGGGAAACACAGCCCTGATTGTGTTTGTGAGCTACTTTGGCAGCCGAGTCCACCGGCCCCGACTGATCGGCTATGGGGCTGTCCTTGTGGCCCTGGCAGGCCTGCTCATGAGTCTCCCACACTTCATCTCGGAGCCATACCGCTACGACCGTGCCAGCCCCGGTAAGACCAGGAAGGGCTGGGCTGGAGATGTACGTGAGGAGCCACATTACCATGCACCAGGGCCCATCCCCAGGCCTGTTGGTCAGAGCGGGCATTTTCTGTTCCTCTCCACTCTCTCAGTCCCAGTCCGGGTGGGTCCTTCTGCCAGTCCTGGAGAGTGGGGTTGTCTTGGGACGGAGGGCTGAAACCCTCTGGTCATCTCTTAGTGAGGGCCTGCTTGTATGTCACTGTATTTTTGAGGTGGGGTGAATTACAACACAGCCTCCGTCAGGGCCTGGCACGTAGTAAGTCCTCGGGAAATGTTTGCGAAATAGTAATAACGGTGTCACATACCACTTATGGTGTACCAGACACTGTTCTGAGTATTTAGGTGTATTCATGCATTTATTTAAAAATTTTTTTTTCAACGTTTATTTATTTTTGGGACAGAGAGAGACAGAGCATGAACGGGGGAGGGGCAGAGAGAGAGGGAGACACAGAATCGGAAACAGGCTCCAGGCTCTGAGCCATCAGCCCAGAGCCCGACGCGGGGCTCGAACTCACGGACCGTGAGATCGTGACCTGGCTGAAGTCGGACGCTCAACCGACTGCGCCACCCAGGCGCCCCTTCATGCATTTATTTAGTCCTCACAAGAAGCCAAGATGTTAATGAAAGAATGAATGAGTGAATGAACAAATTAAAAAATGAAAGAATTTTAGAGAGGAGTAGTGAAGCCCCTGTTGAGCCCAGTGAGATTTTGTTGAAGGCCTATTGGACAGATAGATGCCCATCCCTTGGAGAACAACCTAAGAAGCCTGAGCTTTATTCCTTCTCTCTCCCATCCACCCATGTATTTACCCATCGATCCCTTCACCCATCTATCTACCTATCAATCCATTCACCCATCTATCTACCCTTCGATCCATTCACCCATCTAACTACCCACCCATCTATCCACCCTTCCATCTATCCATCTATCCATCATCCATCCATCCATCCATCCATCCATCCAGTGATCCACCCAAGAAACCCTTCGTGCTGCAGACCTTGTGTCAGGCCCTCTCAGGGGACTCAGTATTGCCTCCAGGGGGTTCCCAGTCTGGGACAGGAGACGGGCAAAGAAAAACCCTACAGTGTGTCCCTTGTGTGAGAAGGGAAGCACAGGGACTGAAGGAGCCCATGCCCCAGCCTAGCATCATGGAAGGCTTCCAGGGGAGGAGTGTCTCAAAGAGCATCCTTCCTCCCTCCCTCCCTCCCCTGCCTTCTCATCAGCTCACATCCTGGGGCTCCCACTCTGTAGCACCAGCCCTAGGAAAGAGTCCAACTCCTTGGGAGTCAGCCAGAGAGAGCCACTAGAGCCCTGAGTGGACTGCAGTGTGGGGGAAGGAGGGCATTTTGAGTGGAAGGAACCACAAGGGCAATGGCAAGGGAAGTAGAGAAGTAGATAGTGTGCATGAAGAGCTCAGAGCTGTTATCTAGGCCTGAGTGGAAAGCGGTCAAGAGGCTTGATTGGAAGGCTGAAAAAAAAAATTTCTGTGTCCAGAATTTCCACTTTCACAGAGCTTTTTCTGTACAGGGTCATACACGTTCTTCTTCATCCTCCCTGCCATACAATACCCCTCTGCCACAGGAGCCCTGTGAAACCCTGAGTAAAGCCTTCTCCTGCCTGAGCCTCAGTCTTCGATGAGAGACTAGGCTCAGTGACCTCTGAGCCCCCTCCTGCTCTGGTATTCCAGGCTATTTCATTCACTCATTCTTCACCCAATATTAATTAATTTATTTTTATTTATTTATTTATTTTATTTATATATGAAATTTATTGTCAAATTGGTTTCCATATAACACCCAGTGCTCATCCCAAAAGGTGCCCTCCTCAATACCCATCACCCACCCTCTCCTCCCTCCCACCCCCCATCAACCCTCAGTTTGCTCTCAGTTCTCAACAGTCTCTTATGCTTTGGCTCTCTCCCACTCTAACCTCTTTTTTTTTTTTCCTTCCCCTCCCCCATGGGTTCCTGTTAAGTTTCTCAGGATCCACATAAGAGTGAAACCATATGGTATCTGTCTTTCTCTGTATGGCTTATTTCACTTAGCATCACACTCTCCAGTTCCATCCACGTTGCTACAAAAGGCCATATTTCATTTTTTCTCATTGCCACGTAGTATTCCATTGTGTATATAAACCACAATTTCTTTATCCATTCATCAGTTGATGGACATTTAGGCTCTTTCCATAATTTGGCTATTGTTGAGAGTGCTGCTATGAACATTGGGGTACAAGTGCCCCTATGCATCAGTACTCCTGTGTCCCTTGGATAAATTCCTAGCAGTGCTATTGCTGGGTCATAGGGTAGGTCTATTTTTAATTTTCTGAGGAACCTCCACACTGCTTTCCAGAGCGGCTGCACCAATTTGCATTCCCACCAACAGTGCAAGAGGGTTCCCGTTTCTCCACATCCTCTCCAGCATCTAGAGTCTCCTGATTTGTTCATTTTGGCCACTCTGACTGGCGTGAGGTGATACCTGAGTGTGGTTTTGATTTGTATTTCCCTGATAAGGAGCGACGCTGAACATCTTTTCATGTGCCTGTTGGCCATCTGGATGTCTTCTTTAGAGAAGTGTCTATTCATGTTTTCTGCCCATTTCTTCACTGGGTTATTTGCTTTTCGGGTGTGGAGTTTGGTGAGCTCTTTATAGATTTTGGATACTAGCCCTTTGTCCGATATGTCATTTGCAAATATCTTTTCCCATTCCGTTGGTTGCCTTTTATTTTTGTTGGTTGTTTCCTTTGCTGTGCAGAAGCTTTTTATCTTCATAAGGTCCCAGTAATTCACTTTTGCTTTTAATTCCCTTGCCTTTGGGGATGTGTCGAGTAAGAGATTGCTACGGCTGAGGTCAGAGAGGTCTTTTCCTGCTTTCTCCTCTAAGGTTTTGATGGTTTCCTGTCTCACATTCAGGTCCTTTATCCATTTTGAGTTTATTTTTGTGAATGATGTGAGAAAGTGGTCTAGTTTCAACCTTCTGCATGTTGCTGTCCAGTTCTCCCAGCACCATTTGTTAAAGAGACTGTCTTTTTTCCATTGGATGTTCTTTCCTGCTTTGTCAAAGATAAGTTGGCCATACATTTGTGGGTCTAGTTCTGGGGTTTCTATTCTGTTCCATTGGTCTATGTGTCTGTTTTTGTGCCAATACCATGCTGTCTTGATGATGACAGCTTTGTAGTAGAGGCTAAAGTCTGGGATTGTGATGCCAATTACTTTGGCTATTCGGGGCCTTTTGTGGTTCCATATGAATTTTAGGATTGCTTGTTCTAGTTTCGAGAAGAATGCTGGTGCAATTTTGATTGGGATTGCATTGAATGTGTAGATAGCTTTGGGTAGTATTGACATTTTGACAATATTTATTCTTCCAATCCATGAGCAGGGAATGTCTTTCCATTTCTTTAAATCTTCTTCAATTACCTTCATAAGCTTTCTATAGTTTTCAGCATACAGATCCTTTACATCTTTGGTTAGATTTATTCCCAGGTATTTTATGCTTCTTGGTGCAATTGTGAATGGGATCAGTTTCTTTATTTGTCTTTCTGTTGCTTCATTGTTAGTGTATAAGAATGCAACTGATTTCTGTACATTGATTTTGTATCCTGCAACTTTGCTGAATTCATGTATCAGTTCTAGCAGACTTTTGGTGGAGTCTATCGGATTTTCCATGTATAATATCATGTCATCTGCAAAAAGCGAAAGCTTGACTTCATCTTTGCCAATTTTGATGCCTTTGATTTCCTTTTGTTGTCTGATTGCTGATGCTAGAACTTCCAGCACTATGTTAAACAACAGCGGTGAGAGTGGGCATCCCTGTCGTGTTCCTGATCTCAGGGAAAAAGCTCTCAGTTTTTCCCCATTGAGGATGATGTTAGCTGTGGGCTTTTCATAAATGGCTTTTATGATCTTTAAGTATGTTCCTTCTATCCCCACTTTCTCAAGGGTTTTTATTAAGAAAGGGTGCTGGATTTTGTCAAAGGCCTTTTCTGCATCGATTGACAGGATCATATGGTTTTTCTCTTTTTTTTTTGTTAATGTGATGTATCACGTTGATTGATTTGCGAATGTTGAACCAGCCCTGCATCCCAGGAATGAATCCCACTTGATCATGGTGAATAATCCTTTTTATATGCCGTTGAATTCGATTTGCTAGTATCTTATTGAGAATTTTTGCCTCCATATTCATCAGGGATATTGGCCTGTAGTTCTCTTTTTTTACTGGGTCTCTGTCTGGTTTAGGAATCAAAGTAATACTGGCTTCATAGAATGAGTCTGGAAGTTTTCCTTCCCTTTCTATTTCTTGGAATAGCTTGAGAAGGATAGGTATTATCTCTGCTTTAAACGTCTGGTAGAACTCCCCTGGGAAGCCATCTGGTCCTGGACTCTTATTTGTTGGGAGATTTTTGATAACCGATTCAATTTCTTCGCTGGTTATGGGTCTGTTCAAGCTTTCTATTTCCTCCTGATTGAGTTTTGGAAGAGTGTGGGTGTTCAGGAATTTGTCCATTTCTTCCAGGTTGTCCAATTTGTTGGCATATAATTTTTCATAGTATTCCCTGATAATTGTTTGTATCTCTGAGGGATTGGTTGTAATAATTCCATTTTCATTCATGATTTTATCTATTTGGGTCATCTCCCTTTTCTTTTTGAGAAGCCTGGCTAGAGGTTTGTCAATTTTGTTTATTTTTTCAAAAAACCAACTCTTGGTTTCGTTTATCTGCTCTACAGTTTTTTTAGATTCTATATTGTTTATTTCTGCTCTGATCTTTATTATTTCTCTTCTTCTGCTGGGTTTAGGCTGCCTTTGCTGTTCTGCTTCTATTTCCTTTAGGTGTGCTCTTAGATTTTGTATTTGGGATTTTTCTTGTTTCTTGAGATAGGCCTGGATTGCGATGTATTTTCCTCTCAGGACTGCCTTCGCTGCGTCCCAAAGCGTTTGGATTGTTGTATTTTCATTTTCGTTTGTTTCCATATATTTTTTAATTTCTTCTCGAATTGCCTGGTTGACCCACTCATTCGTTAGTAGGGTGTTCTTTAACCTCCATGCTTTTGGAGGTTTTCCAGACTTTTTTCTGTGGTTGATTTCAAGCTTCATAGCATTGTGGTCTGAAAGTATGCATGGTATGATTTCAATTCTTGTAAACTTATGAAGGGCTGTTTTGTGACCCAGTATATGATCTATCTTGGAGAATGTTCCATGTGCACTCGAGAAGAAAGTATATTCTGTTGCTTTGGGATGCAGAGTTCTAAATATATCTGTCAAGTCCATCTGATCCAATGTCTCATTCAGGGCCCTTGTTTCTTTATTGACCGTGTGTCTAGATGATCTATCCATTTCTGTAAGTGGGGTGTTAAAGTCCCCTGCAATTACCACATTCTTATCAATAAGGTTGCTTATGTTTATGAGTAATTGTTTTATATATTTGGGCGCTCCAGTATTCGGCGCATAGACATTTATAATTGTTAGCTCTTCCTGATGGATAGACCCTGTCACTATTATATAATGTCCTTCTTCATCTCTTGTTACAGCCTTTAATTTAAAGTCTAGTTTGTCTGATATAAGTATGGCTACTCCAGCTTTCTTTTGGCTTCCAGTAGCATGATAAATAGTTCTCCATCCCCTCACTCTCAATCTATAGGTGTCCTCAGGTCTAAAATGAGTCTCTTGTAGACAGCAAATAGATGGGTCTTGTTTTTTTATCCATTCTGATACCCTGTGTCTTTTGGTTGGCGCATTTAATCCATTTACATTCAGTGTTATTATAGAAAGATATGGGTTTAGAGTCATTGTGATGTCTGTATGTTTTATGCTTGTAGTGATGTCTCTGGTACTTTGTCTCACAGGGTCCCCCTTAGGATCTCTTGTAGGGCTGGTTTAGTGGTGACAAATTCCTTCAGTTTTTGTTTGTTTGGGAAGACCTTTATCTCTCCTTCTATTCTAAATGACAGACTTGCTGGATAAAGGATTCTCGGCTGCATATTTTTTCTGTCTAGCACACTGAAAATCTCGTGCCAATTCTTTCTGGCCTGCCAAGTTTCAAAAGAGAGATCAGTCACGAGTCTTATAGGTCTCCCTTTATATGTGAGGGCACGTTTACCCCTTGCTGCTTTCAGAATTTTCTCTTTATCCTTGTATTTTGCCAGTTTCACTATGATATGTCGTGCAGAAGATCGATTCAAGTTACGTCTGAAGGGAGTTCTCTGTGCCTCTTGGATTTCAATGCCTATTTCCTTCCCCACTTCAGGGAAGTTCTCAGCTATTATTTCTTCAAGTACCCCTTCAGCAACTTTCCCTCTCTCTTCCTCCTCTGGGATACCAATGATGCGTATATTATTTCTTTTTAGTGTATCACTTAGTTCTCTAATTTTCCCCTCATACTCCTGGATTTTTTTATCTCTCTTTTTCTCAGCTTCCTCTTTTTCCATAACTTTATCTTCTAGTTCACCTATTCTCTCCTCTGCCTCTTCAATCCGAGACGTCGTGGTTTCCATTTTGTTATGCATTTCGTTTAAAGCGTTTTTCAGCTCCTCGTGACTGTTCCTTAGTCCCTTGATCTCTGTAGCAAGAGATTCTCTGCTGTCAGCTATACTGTTTTCAAGCCCAGCGATTAATTTTATGACTATTATTCTAAATTCACTTTCTGTTATATTATTTAAATCCTTTTTGATCAGCTCATTAGCTGTTGTTATTTCCTGGAGATTCTTCTGAGGGGAATTCTTCCGCTTGGTCATTTTGGATAGTCCCTGGCGTGGTGAGGACCTGCAGGGCACTTCCCCTGTGCTGTGGTGTGTAACTGGAGTTGGTGGGCGGAGCCGCAGTCAGACCTGATGTCTGCCCCCAGCCCACCGCTGTGTCCACAGTCAGACTGGTGTGTGCCTTCTCTTCCCCTCTCCTAGGGGCGGGATTCACTGTGGGGTGGGGTGGCCTGTCTGGGCTACTTGCACACTGCCAGGCTTGTGATGCTGGGGATCTGGCGTCTTAGCTGGGGTGGGTAGGCAAGGTGCACAGGGGCAGGAGGGGCAGGCTTAGCTTGCTTCTCCTTAGGTGATCCACTTCAGGAGGGGCCCTGTGGCTGCAGGAGGGAGTCAGATCTGCTGCCGGAGGTTTGGCTCCGCAGAAGCGCAGAGTTGGGTGTTTGCGCGGAGCGAGCAAGTTCCCTGGCAGGAACTGGTTCTCTTTGGGATTTTGGCTGGGGGATGGGTGGGGGAGATGGCGCTGGTGAGCGCCTTTGTTCCCCACCAAACTGAGCTCTGTCGTCAGGGGGCTCAGCAGCTCTCCTTCCCTTTGTCCTCCAGCCTTCCCGCTTTCTGAGCAGAGCTGTTAACTTATGACCTCCCAGACGCTAAGTCGCGCTTGCTGTCGGAACACAGTCTGTCAGGCCCCTCCGCTTTTTGCAAGCCAGACTCGGGGGCTCTGCTTGGCCGGCGAGCCGCCCCTCCGCCCCGGCTCCCTCCCGCCAGTCCGTGGAGCGCGCACCGCCTCGCCGCCCTTCCTACCCTCTTCCGTGGGCCTCTCTTCTGCGCTTGGCTCCGGCGACTCCGTTCTGCTAATCCTCTGGCGGTTTTCTGGGTTATTTAGGCAGGTGTAGGTGAAATCTAAGTGATCAGCAGGACGCGCGGTGAGCCCAGCGTCCTCCTACGCCGCCATCTTCCCTCTCCTTCTCCCCTTAATTTATTTTTAATACTTATGTGCCAGGCCCCCTGATAGGCACTAGCGTTACTAGGGGTGGCCAAAGAAGACAGGGCTCTATGACAATCATCACATTTAATGGCTAGTAGGTGCTGTGTGTGGGCACCACTCACCACTCTTAACATTTACAGCCTTATAGCAGGTATTCTCTCAGTAGCCCGTTTTACAGATAAGGAAACCAAAGTTCAGAGACAGGGATTTCCCGAAGGCCCACAGCTAGTGGAGCCATGACATGTCCAGGTAGCTTGGCCCTAGAGTCCCTGAGCCACTGAATTATTGTGCTTCTGAGTTTCTGTAGAATTTCCATTCTAGGAGACTCTTTTGACAGATGAGGAAACTGAGGCCCAGATGGGCTGAGGGCCTCTTGTCAAAGTCTCCCAGTCTTCTACCCAGGTAACCTTGGTTGAAGGTCAGGGTCCTTCACCCTGGTTCACGTGGCTTTTTCTCAGAGTCCTGGCTTCTATAAAGGGCTGGGCCTGCCACAGAGAGAAAGCCACTTCTACACCCACATTTGGGACAATAATAGCATGAGGGTCTCTTTAAGTTTGCTCACCAAATATTGGTGAGCTACAGGGAACAACTGTCTGGTACTAAATTAAGAAATTCCCCTTTACTGAACTCTGCATCTGTGTCCTGAGCTGACACTGAGCCCACCCAAAATGAAGGCCAAGGGCACTAGAGCCCTCCACAGTCCAGGCCCAGCATCCCTCCCCTGCCCAGCCCTGCCCTCAGCCCTGGCTTTGCCCCTCACTCTCTGTGAGCCAGCCATGCTGAATTTCTCAAGCCCCTGGGTTTGCATATGCTGTGACCTCTCCCTGGAACACCCCTTCCACCTTCTCTTTCTGGAAAATCTTGTTTGTTCCTCTTGGCCTTGTTCAAATTCTACTTCCTTTGACAGCTCCTCCCTACCCAAGAGCCATGGTCGCCATGGTATTTCTATATACCTCTGCTCAAAAAGGTGGCATAGGGTTGTTTTAGGACATAGACTCTAAGTTGAGCTTCCTGGATTCCAATCTCAGCTCTGCCTTTACCAGTTGCTGCCTGAGCATCAGTTTCCTCATCTGTACAATGGGAGTAATGAGGGCAACCATCCTCTAGGTTTGTTGGGGGAGGGAGTCAAATGATTTATACACACATCACTTAAAATGCTACCTTGCACCCGATGCATGCTCTGTAAGTCTTAGCTATTGCCATAATATTTGTTTATCATCTCTTAGTGGACATGCCACAGGATTTTGAGGCTTCTCTGTGCCAGTCCAAAACCTTGGTCCCAGACCCAACCCCAGCTCCCTCCAACAGCAGCTGCTCAAGCTACACGGAGACCCAACATCTGGCTGCGGTGGGGATAATGTTCACGGCACAGACCCTGCTCGGCGTGGGCGGTGTGCCCATTCAGCCCTTCGGCATCTCCTACATCGATGATTTTGCCCACAACAGCAATTCGCCCCTCTACCTTGGTGAGAACCGGGGTCTGAGGGAGGGCCAGGCTCAGAGGAAGGGGGATGAGAGGCCCAGATAGGGGCTGGGCATGAGTCCCTGACCTCTGCTCCATGTGACCAGTAAAGGTCCAGAGAAGACCCAGAGTTTCCTGGGCCTAACCAACTGCTCTTGCCTATTAGAGACTGGGTGGGCACTGATATGCTGAGGGAAGCCAGGGCCAGAGAAGACTAACCCAGCCTTTGTGTTGCAGGGATCCTGTTTGCAGTAACCATGATGGGGCCAGGCATGGCCTATGGGCTGGGCGGTCTCATGCTGCGCCTTTATGTAGACATCGACCGGATGCCAGAAGGTGAGCCTCAGGAGTGCACAGTTGTCCCTGGGGGCACACAGATGCTAGCTAGCTTATGGATTGCTGGTCTAATAGGAGACAATGAGCCAGGGGACTCAGGTTCAAATCCCAGCAACCTCACTGACCTTGGACATGCCTCTTAACCTCTCTGAGCCTCAGCTTCTTCATCTTTGAGATACTCTCTGTCCTGTCCACCTCCCAGAGCTGCAATCAGAATCCAATGAAAGCTGAAGATAAGCTGTAAAGCACCATCAGACAGGGTAATGGAGAAGCACGCAGGAGAGAAGTTCTGGAGCAGGACTCAGTTACCTTGGGCCTACCTCAGATGGAAACTTACTGGGTTGACCTCTAAGGACCCTTCTAGTTCTGACCACTTAAGGGTCTGGGAACCTGTGCCGAGGGCACCATTTAGGGAACCTCAGTCACTACTCCAGGTAGTAGCTGGGGTGGGCCAAGGAGTAGGATGGAAGCTTGGCCTGAAGGCGCCAGGAGAGGGCAGTGGTAGGGGTCCCCGTGCTCTGGCACCCTACAGGGAATAGGAGAAGATTCCTTTTAGAACAGGTTACTACTGCAGCATCTCAGCTGCCTGATTGTCACATCTAAGCAGCTCTAAGCCCCAACCTATGCCTTCTACCTCCTGCTACTCAGAAGTCCCATCCCTCACCTGGAGATTTTCAGCAAGCTCTAGAAAGCTCAAGGTCACACACGTATGAATGGATGGACACGCAGATGCTGCTTCTTGTTCTCTGGTTTTTGCACAAGGGTGCCTCCAGGACAGGTCTGGGCAGCTCTTAACAGGTCTCGCTAGGAATAGCCCTGCCCCACCTTCCTCTCTTCTAGAAAGCTGGGCCCAGGAGCCAAGCGTGAGCTCTGGTTATTGTCCTTAGGTTTCCCAGACACATCCCAATGCCAGGGAAGGGCGGTGTGTGTTTTCTGGCTCTGTTGACATCATCCTGGCAGATGTGGCACCTTCACAGGCAGATGTGTTGTTCCTGTGGACTTACCTCCCTACACTTTCTCTATGGGGGATTTCAGGGGTGGGTGTGGCGTGTCTGCTGCAGGCACAGCTGGGTGTGTGAGAAGCGGAGGAGTCAGGGAGATACGTGTGCTGACGCTCGCCAGGCTGGCACAGAAGCAGGGGAAATAATAGGTGGAGGAGGGATTTAGTGCAAAAACCAACTTCATTCCCAGCTTTACAGATACATTTGCTGAGTGCCAGTTGTGTACTCTGGCCCCTGGCCAGGTAAGCTCAGGACCAATCACCTGGGAACCAGCCCCGCTCATGGGGTTGGTGTCATTATGCATCTGTGTCTTTATAAAGTGTTTGCGGATGCTATAGCAATTGAAGGAGGAGGTATCTGACTCAGCCTTGAGGTCAGGGCTTGGATGGGGGATGTGGGCGTTCCAGCCAGGAGGGACATCTGGAATAGTCTAGTCCTGATTACACCTGGGGAACTTGTTAAAGGTAAGACTCCTGGGTCACCTTCCCACCCCACCCCGTGGTAGTTTTAAGTTGGTCTTGGGTATTTTTGACAAGCACTCTGGTGATTTCGATGAGAATCTTGTACTGAGAAGCACAGGAGTAGCCCTGACCATAACAATAATAATAATAATAATAATAAATCACAACAGTAACAGTAAGATGAGGAAGATGAGCAAACTCCTATACAGCACATACTCTGTGCTGGCACTATTCTAAATGCTTTACATGAGTCAGTTTCTGTGATTCATCACCTGTGATATAGGTACTACTGTCTGTATTTTACAGAGGAAGACACTGAGGCACAAAAACGTTAAGTAATTTGCCCAAGGTTGTTATGTTAGTAATGGGAATTCAGACTCAACGGTCCATTTCCAAGGTCCATAACATCGACCACTACACCCAATGCCTGGGTAGTTGAAGAAGCTAAGGTTCAAGAAGGGTCAAGGTCAGATGCGATGTAACTGGCAAAGCCACCACTCAAGCCCAGGTCCCCTGACTCTTGGTCCAAGTCACCTCACGTCTCAGAAGCCAGTCCCACGATGGTGGGATCCTGATCCTAACATCACTATGGTCTTCTCTTTCAGGTGGTATCAGCCTGACCTCAAAGGACCCCCGATGGGTGGGTGCCTGGTGGCTGGGCTTCCTCATCTCCGCTGGTTCGGTGGCCCTGGCTGCCATCCCCTACTTCTTCTTCCCCAGGGAGATGCCCAAGGAGAAGCATGAACTTCGCTTTTGGAGAAAGGTCTTGACGGTCTCAGACTCACCTGTTAGCAAAGTAAGCCCCCTTCACATCCCCACCCTAGTCCAGGCTCCAGCCCCACCCACTTGTTCTCCTTTGTAACCTTAAACTTCATCCCTCCCCGGCACTGCACTTCACAACTTGCAAATCCATTCCTGTCCAGACTCCACAGCATCTGCCTACAGCCCCACGCAATGAGTATGTCTGGCCCCTTCCACAGCTGAGGAGATTAGGGGCCAGAGGAGGAAATGACCTTCCCAAGGCCACAAGGCCACTGAGGGCAGCACTGGGATGAGAACCCCAGCCTCTCTGATCCCATGCCCTGTCTCTAAACACTACACTTTCCACCTCTTTGCTCATCACTTCATGGTTTTTGTGAGTTCTAACCGTGCTGTGCCGGAGCAATATTGAGAGCTAGGGGGAGGGGAGAATGGGTGGGAGGGTCTGAGAAGACTTCTCTGAAGAGGTGGAAATTGAGCTGGACTTTGAAGGATGGTGGGAGCCTAGAGAAGGGCGTTCTAGGTGTGGACACAGTAGGTCAAAGAGTTCAGCTGTTGAAATGAATCTGGCCTTTTTAGAAGCAGTGAGGGGACAAACACACATTGAGTGCCTCCTCTAGGCCAGATGTCAGGCCGACACTGGAGCTCAGCACATGGCCTCTACCCTTAAAATAGGCATGGCCTAGTGGGGACAGAGATTCATAGATAAGTAACAAGCCATGAGGTGCTAGAGGACATCTCGCTGAAACCCCTGCTTGGCTGTGGGGCAGGTGGTCTTTCCTCAGAAGAGACCCACTGGGCAGATCAGATGACTGATCGGGGGGTCTCCCTGTTTTCCACAGACTCACCAACACACGAGGCCCTAAAAACAATACATTGGCTCCAAAGTACAAAAGAAAATGACGAAATAGAAACGTTTCATAAAAGTTCAATATACAAGTAATGTCAGCTTGATCAGGTTTTCTTTAATACTCACACACATTTCATGACATTCTGAAAATCTGTACATTTGATTTTCTTGTTTCCCAAGTTCTCACACACACAACGTTTCTGTGACCAAATGTGTGGAGTTCTTCATGCCAATCAATTCTCGGCGATACCCACAAGGTGTCCCACTCAACCCTGACACTGTCTACCTGGAGGTAGCATCTGATCCCACAGGTTAGGGCTCAGACTCACAGTTGAAGTCCCACTTCATTTGCAGACAATAGGCTCACCCCCTGGTTACCCACAACTTCTGTCCTACTTGGCTGCAAATCAGGTTCCCACAGCCCCCTTCTTGGATTCCATGATTTTCTAGACTAACAGCTCACAGAACTCAGGAAAGGACTTAGATTTACCAGCTAATTATGTAACAAGGGATATGATAAAGGGCATTGCTGAACAGCCAGATGAGATTACATAGGGCAGGGTCTGGGAGGGTCCCCAATGCAGGAGCTTCTGTCCCTAGTGGAGTTGGGGTGTGTCACACTCCTGGCACGTGGATGTGTTCACCAACTTCAAACCCCATACTATTAGGATTTTGTGGGGGCTTTCTCCATATAGACATGATTGTCCTTAACTCCATTACCAGCCCCTCTCCCCTCCCTGAAGAATTGGGGGTGGGGGTGGAGGGCCTGAAAGTTCTAAGCTTATAATCATGGTTTGGTCTTTCTGGTGACCACTTCCCATCCAGGAGCCCACTGAGAGTCATCTCATTAGAACAAAAGATGTTCCTCTCATCCAGGAAATTCCAAGGGATTTGGGAGCTTGGTGATAGATGCTCCCAGCACTTAGGAAATTATACAGATCTTAGGGCTCCATGTCAGGAACTGGGGTCAAAGACTAAGTATTAGAAGATTCTCCTAAGCACTCTTATTTACAAGAGTTTTAGGAGCTCTGTGTCAGGTGTATATATATATATATATATATATATATATATATATATATATATTTGCTTATTTATGTTTATATATTTCTTATTAGTAATTGTGGAGAAATCACAATCATAAATTATTTGTTGCTATGTAGTTCTAATTTCAAAGAGATGATCTGTAAAAAAGACTGTTGAATATTTTGCAACAAGAATAATTCTATTTCATGAGGCAGGTCGGTGCATTTGAATATGCTTGCTGTGATGTGAGCAAGAAAGTTTGGGCCTTGGAGAGAGGGCTGAAAATGTCTTCACCTAGAAAGGCTAGAATTTGAGCCCAAGTCTGTCTGACCCCAAACTTGGCTGTTCTATGACCCTCATGACACATCTCCCTCTGCCCCCACCAGCACCACCCTCACCACCACCACTGGATCAGAGGGTATATACATGGGACACCAACGAGAATTGATATTAGAACAGCCAATAGGGGCCAGAACAGGAAAGGCCTTGCCTGCCAGCTTCAAGAGCAGCAGGCAGCCCTGAAAGGAGGGTAAACAGGGGTCCCGTGGCTCTATCACTAGGTTCTAAGCTGAGAAAGGGACAGAGGAAGTGTGTGGGCGTGGCTGGGGGTGGGGAGACTGATGCAGCAGCCATGGCTGTGGTCCAGGTGGGAACTGGTGCATTGGCAGTGAGGCAGGCCAAAGGGAGGAGTCCAGGAGCCTCCCAGGAGGGAGACTGCTTGGGCCCCAATGCTGCTTTGCTAAGGGGCATCCAGGATAGTGCAGGGCTGGGCTGATGCTGGGCTTGGAGGCAGGGGAAGGCAGGCCCTGCAGAGGGACCAGTATCATGGGAAGAAGACAGCTTGAAATTGCAGATGGCACTTACTGGTTCTGCCTAGCTCAGGTCAGAATTTGAACGAGGTAAGGATTCCTAGAACTTGGAGGTGAGTTCTTAGAAGTAGGGGTAGTCATAGAGAAAGAGAAGAACCTGGGTTTTTGGTTATGGGCAGTCTCCAAGTTGGGCCTTAAATCTGAGCAGAGAACAACCACTTGAGCCATGGGGTGGCATCTGTGGGAGAAGCAAGGGTGAGGCATGTGTCAGTTGTGTGACCTTGAGCCAGTCACTTCCCCATTCTGTTCTGTCATGGAAGACACTGAGGTTGGATTCCTGGAGCAATATTCTGTGTGCCTCGAAGTCTAAGAAGGCACAGTTTTTGGAGTTGAAGCTGCTGTGATGCAGGGATTTGGGTTTTCAGAGCTGCATCTCTGTGATGCTTTGAAACCCTGGCTCCCCGGCTGTGAACCTGTCTGGCTGTCTGGATTCATTCTGTCAGCACATTGGGGATGGGGAGTGAGGAAGGAAGGGGGTGAGAGGTTCTTAAAAAAGAACCGAAGGCTGAGAACATGATGATCTGCTTCCAGCAGCTCTCAGGCAATAAATATTGATGTGGGAGGAATTGTTCCCCCGCCTCCTTGAAGCTGCCTTGGCCAGCTCTGCTCGCAGTTACTCAGACTGGCCCAGCCCACTCAGGCCACTGAAGAGGAGGTAGATGGACAAAGAGGAAGGGCCCAATTAGGCAGAACTGGCAGCCAGAAAGTCCAGGCCCACAGACATGGGAAGTGTAGCTTCTGTAGAGAGCGGGAACAGGCAGGGGGAAAAGTGAAGGGAGGCTATTTCTCACATCCCTTCAAGCATCTTCTCCCAGGCTCAGGGATCCCCTAAATACCCTCCTATAGTAAATGCAGTTTTTAAAGGTGGTGTGATGGTATGTAATATAAGGGTCGTGTGACCCGGCGAAGGTCTCTGACCTCAGTCTCCTTATCTCTAAAACGGGCAGAAGATTGGACAAGGGTTTACCAGATTCAAGGATGTCTTCTCTAAATGGCTCCCTATCTCTGGAGCAGTACATGAGCCCTTTCCCTGTGGGAGAAAACGGTGCCGTCCACAGCCTCTGCCCCAAGAAGCTCTCAGGTAATGAAGGAAGGCCAGACTCAGACAGACTGACTGACAGCTCAGGTTTCTCCAGGGTCGGTGCTTAGAGTTCTCTGCCTACAGGGAGGGGAGCATGAACAGTCTCCACAGAGAAGACTATAAGATGGTAGGTGGGGGAGGCTACACGGACGTGAAGGGGCAAAAGCTCTGCTTTCCTGCCTTTGATTCTGCCCATGTGTCTGTGGCTTCCTGGTGGCTACCAGACATCCTTCTCAAAGTGAACCAGGGCAGGTCTTACCTTTCTGCAAGCCACAGTCACCCTGTCTATAACCAGACAGTCTCTAAGTCAAGCCCCAGGACTCCTGGCAGATGGCTCTCTAGAGCCTGTGGAGTAGAAATGGCCTCTCAGGGGCTCCCCAGCAGGTCATCCGGTCCCATTAGGACCCCATTCAATCAGCAACACTCCTTTGCCCTCCACACCCTCAGGTCCCTCTTAGTGCCTACCCTTGGGTCTAGGCAAGGGGCTGACAAAGGCCTCATCCTTCGAGATCCCCTGTCCCTGCCCAGCCTCTGAGCACCGCTGGCTTCTGTCACCTTCTCTCGGTTCCAATTTCCCAGGAGTCTCCATGTCTGTCATTCTAGGCTGTCTCTCAGAGTCTAGGATTCTAATATTATAAAGTTCTAAATTTTGTATTTCTAGTAAAGATTCTCAAGTACTTGTGTTCTATTATTCTAAGATTCTATGCCTCATATGGTCTGTGACTCCAAAAATTCATATTTCTACATGGTTACAATTTGGGCCTATGAGTCTAGGAGTCTGTGAAATCTGTTTCCTCCCAATTGTTAACCTGATGTGCTTCTTTGGGAGAATGGTCAAGGATGGGGACAGGAGTGGGCAGTGGCAATGGCCCTTAAAGCCTAGGACTTACGGCCAGCTAGGAGGCTTCTCTTCCCTTTGGACTTTGTGCTCATTTTACAGCCCTTGTAAAGTCCAAGGTGACTTGTGTCTCTCTTATGCCTGGTACCTCTCCCTTGCAGTAACTGCCAGCAGCCTAGGCTGGCTCATGTCCCTAGCAACCCAGGCCTTGTGACTACCCCCCCCCCCAACTCTCTAAAGTAGACGGTCTTGTGTGATCATCCAGTTCAACCCCCACTCTATCTTATAGATGGAGGGATTCAGGCCCAGAGAGGGTCAAGGTTGTTCCCAGAGCTGGACCAGTACCACCCCACCTTGCACCAGTCTATATAAGGCCAGGTCTTGGCCCCAAAGGGCTAAAGTGAGTCCTTGGCCCCAAAGGGCTAAAGTGAGTCCTCCCCTCTTCATGGCCTGGTGTAGATCAGAACTTCCTCAAACACTGGGGCTAGAAGGCACTTTGGGATGACCTGCTTGAGTGGTTTCAACAGAGCCCCAAAGGTGCCACCATAGGGAGAACCCCAAGGGTGCCACCATATGGAGATTGAAGAGAGGTGTCCGCAGTAGAACTAAGGGCCTTCCGCCTCCCTGAACACACACATACACACGCACGCGTGCATACACACACACACACACACACACACACACACTTCAATCAGACAGATTCTACTTTTATGAGTTTTGATACCAGTCTTTGGAGTGAGGTTTCAATTGGGGAAAGGGTTTTGCTGCTAAAAACCCAGTTTTCAAAACACCGATCTAGTCCAGTACCTCCGTTTGACTGCCGAGGAGACTGAGGCTAAAGAAGAGAGCTGACTGGAAGCTGATCTGGCCCAAGAGTTTCCTTGGTGCCTGAGGTGTCTGAGTGCCGGCCTAGCGGGAGGCCAGCAACAGGAGTTAGACATATGGTGTCTGTACCAAACCAGCCTGGGTATGAATCCTGCCTCTGCACTTACAATTCTGAAATCCATAAAATGGGTATAATCACAACGTTCACATCTTGGGGGTTTTGTAAGAATGAAACAAAGTGTGAAGTGGGTTGTTCAATGCCTGACAACCAGGAATGCTTGTTCTTAGTATCTTTCTCTGCTCCAGCCAGCTCTTTAGAGTTTTGAAAAATAATGGAAAAATTATCTTTTTTTCCCCTAATATTCTTCTTACAGCTCGCACCAAATTCACGTACAGTGCTAATAAAAGAGTGGGGAATTAGGCTGACATCTATTGCCTACTCTGTACCATGCATTGTTCTAAGCCCTTGGTATGTATTATCTCATTTAATCCTTGTAATCCACCCATGAAGTAGATGCAGCTATCACCCCCATTTAACACCTGAGGTGCCGAGTTACAGAAAGATTAAATAACCCGACCACATGGCTAGTGAATGGTGGCGCTGGGATTCAGACCCAGGAAGAGCATTGCAGGACCTGGGCTGAATCACTCAGCCGAGACCAAGAAGCGGGAAAATAGAAACAGCAGCAAAAGTTTGTCAGAATGAGAGAGAGAAACATAGGCGCATGGACCACAAAGATGAAGTCAATTGTTATAACTGAACCACGTATTTGGTTCTGAGCTTTCTGGTAGTCAAAGGGAAAAGAGAGGCATGGCCTGTTGCACGGATCTCAATACGAGAAAGCCCGAAGCATGTCACAATCTTCTGTGAAGTTCAGATCTCTAGGCACTCTGCTAGAAACACGACCTCCCTCCCGCAGCAGGTAGGAAGTCTAGCAGATAACCCCATTCCCTGTGGCCGCTTGCCGTGGCCACCTGTGATGGAAGCTGAGGGCATCACCTGCCAGGGTCAGCGTGGCTCCGTGGGGTCACAGCTCCACATAGAGCTTTCCAGGAACCCAGCTTCCTCTGAGGATGACTCCCTGGAGGCCCGGCAGACAGGGTCCTTTCATGTGGGGGACCACACATGGTGTCCGGTGTCCCGCAGGCTTGCAGCAGTCAACACACGGCCCCGAGAGGGGAAGTTCTAACCTGCTGACCTGGGCAAACCACAACCAGATGTGTCCAACTCCAAATCACAAGGCTTTCGGTTTCAGGAGCTGGCTCTTAGTCAGGAGTCCTCCGAACAGATCTGGAGAGAGAGGCGGGAACTTGTGGAGAACACAGGACTGGAGCTAGGTCAGTGCTCCCAGTACCTACCAGATAAGGCCCAAGTAAAGTCCCTTAGCATGGCCCTCCCAACCGCCCAGCTCCTGCCCCAGCAACTCTTACCCATAGTCAGGATGGCTTCCCCATCACTTTCTGCACTGATAGACCCCTTCCCCCAGACACACTCCTGCTAGACTATGCCCTTGCTTCAAATAACCTCTTCCTTCCAGTCCACAAATCTCAAACCTCACTTCTCCTGGATGCCTTCCCTGGCCTCCCAGCTCCTGAAGGTCTGCCCCTCCCCTCTTGTCTCCAAACCCCATGCTCTTTTTCACAGCATGAGACAGTGTGGTACTATAGGACCCACATTTGAGAACCTGCTCTGCCCATTGCTCCCTAGGTGACACTTCCCTTTCTGGGGCCTCAGTTTCCTTTTCTGTGAAATAGGTGCGGTAATAACCCCTTCACCAGACTGCTATGGGAATCAGATGACACAGTGGATGTGAAAGTGCTGGGTAGACCATATAGGGTTGTACATGCAGACACTGTGGTTGACTTTACTGTTTACATGAAAACAAGGAACTCACAAGGTTCTGCCTGTCCAAGGTTCTGTCTCGTCCAAAGGTCGAGCCTGTCCTTCCATCCCTGATGAGAAATGCTGGGAAGTTAATTGTTTACCTTAGCCCCTCCTGCTTCTGTTTCTGGGAAGTACCCCAGGCCTAGTACCCCTCCCTGGGGTCCCAGGACCTTCCTGCACCGCCCTCCATAGCTTAGCTAGGACTAAGAAAGGCGTAGGGAGATTCCCTGATTTTCTTGAAGACAGTGTGTCCAAAAGAAATATTATGTGAACCACATATGTAATTCTAAATGTTCTGGCAGCACATTCGAAAGTTAAAGACATTAATTTTAATAATTGTTAACCCACTATATCTAAAATATTCTCATTTTAGCACATCATAAATATGAAAAAAACTAATGATGAGGTATTTTCCCATCTTTTTCATACGAAGTCTTTGAAATGCAGCCTGTATTTGGTATTCATGGCACATCTCAGTTTGGACAAGACACAATCCTGGTGCTCAGGGACCACACATGGCCGGTGGCTGCTGTGTCAGCACAACTCGAAGGTATAAATGAATAACAGACCCCCGGTAACTTACCCAGAGTGGGTAAGACCCAAAGTGTGGGCTCTCAGGCCCCTCCACATAACACCACAAAGGTGCCTCCCAATTCTGCCTGTCTTGCATCAGGGCCTCCAACTCACAGGGCTTAGTGGATAAAGCATGAGTTTTCTACTCAGGTAAGCTTGAGCTCAGATCATAGTTCTGTGCAATGTTGAGCAAGTTACCTCACTTCACAGCTTCTTTGCTCAGGTGTGAAGTGTAAGACCCCTTCCTTTGCAGGTCCCAGGGAGGATGGAGCAGGAGCCCACATACTGGTGGCCTGGCATATCCTGGAACCCCCATTCTTCTAGGCCCCTGGGGTACTCAGTGTGGACGTTTTGCCCTATTCCGAACCAAACTGAACCCACTTCTGAGCAGTGTACAAGCTTGCCTGCATCACATTAGCATCTCCTTTTGATCTCATTGTTTCTTCCAAGAGGCCAGCATTGGCCGCACCCATTGCCTGTTAGAGACATCTGTTGCGTTTCTTCTTCTCATGGATATTTATCAGATGCCCACTATTTTACCTCAGGCCCTATGCTAGGCACCAAGGGTTCAACAGAGAATAAGATAAAGATGATCCCTGAGCTCTTGCAGAGCTCAGAGCCCAGCAGAGGAGAGACCCTGAACAAGGTTTGACTTGGACGTACATGTATATGTAAGATCGTTATTTTCTCTTCAAATCAACTTACCTTCTACTATGAATGCCCATCTTGCTGGATTAGCAAGACACCCAACTTCAGCCTTTCTTAGGGTTCCCCCACCAAGGTGAAGCAAAGGTCCTGAGGTCTTACAGGGTGTTGAGGCACCAGAGAGGTCTCACCCCCAGCCAGCAGGCATCAGCAACAATCCATTCTGGCCTGTTCGGAGCCAAGAACAAATGGAACACTGCTGGCCCCTATTGCTCCCGATGAGGTGACAGCCCCATACCCTCTTCTCTTTCAGAGTGTTTCCACACCCACAGGCATATCTGGGCAGAATGTCTGGCATCCAGCTGACTGCCTGGGTTGTATGTCTTCCAGGGTGAAGATTCTCCCTCTGAGCAGAGTCTGCGGGAACCTCCAGAGAAGCAGGATGGCCTAGTCCAGATTGCACCAGACCTGACTGTGATCCAGTTTATCAAAGGTAAGAGAGCTCAGGCCAGGATATGGGGAAGGGGGACCAGAGGGGCATTTGAGGCTGCACGGGATCCAGCCCCTTCCTGCCCTTCTTGATTTATCTTTCACACCTACAGGCCCCTCATGAGCACCATACGCTCCTGTAAGTCTTTGCTTATATGATCCCCTCTGGCTGGAACATCAGTTTTTATTGCTATCTATCAAAATCTCCCTTGTCCCTCTAGGTCAAGCTCAAGTGCTACTCCTCTCCTTCCCCCAACAAGCCTGGCTCTCCCTCCTCTCAGCTCTCTGAACCCTCAGGGCCAATAATCCTTGCTCTGCTTCTCTCAAGGACTATTAGGAGAAGCAAATGGGGTGATGAATGGAAAGCCTTTTGTATAATATAAAAAAAAAAACAACTTTACTTATATAAGGTGCAATTATTATTTATTTCGATTACCACCCGTGCCCTATTGCTATTATTCTGACCATGTCCTGGGACAGTAAGGTGAGCTGCCTATGGTTTAGGAGGGTGATAACCACAGGGTTTGCTTCAACACCCATCCCTGCCCCCACTGAGGACTTTTGAAACAGGAAGTAAATTAGGCCCAATTCTTGGAAGTGTGTCCTAAGACTTGTTGTTGGGATGCCAGTAATCCAGCGCCCAGTTCTTCAGTATCCCCAGGGAATGGGGGGGGGGGGGGAGGGGGCTGGACCCCATGGGGCTGGGCCTAGAGACAGGAGGGGCTTTGACTTCCTAACCTCAGATCACCCACAGCTGCTGGAAGGCCCCAGCACACTCTCCATAGGAGAGTTTATTAATCACTGCTTTGGCTTCTGCCCAGAGGGAAGCTGGGGCCAATCACTGAAATTGGATCCTGGAGCGGGTGTCCTGGGCAGATAGTCTCTGGCTGTTTCAGCTTCTCCATGAGCCTAGAGGAGACTGAGGCAGGGCTAGCCATAGGCCCTGAAGTTGGTCAGCAAGCTTGACTTCTAAGTTTTACTGCTGAGTTCTGGGGAAATCATAGTGACCTGAGGTTTGGCCTTGACCACATGGGACCATGGGGGAGCCAGAGGGAGGATGAATCATGGCCCTTAGCTGCAGGAGGCCTAAACTCTTAGGGGAAAACAGTCCCTGAGTTAGAGAAGGTCCTTGTCTGGGGGAAACATAGTCCCTGTGCTGGGAGAGATCCTATTCAATGAGAGAGACACAATCTCTGTGCTGGGGGGCGGGGGGGGGGGGGGGGGGGGGGGGGGGTGCTGTCTAATGGAGGATACATAGACCCTGAATGGAGGGAGAAAATGCTTTGTCTAATGGAGGAGAGGTGGCCTCTGTGCTGGAGGAGGCCCCTGTCTGATGGGAGAGATACTATTGTTGAGTTAAGGGAGGCCCTTGACAAATGGAAGAAACATAGTCCCCCTAAAGTGAGGGAAGACATGGCCTCTGAGCTGTGAGAGGCTCCTGTCTGATAAGAAAGACATGGTCTCTGAATGGGGAGAAGCCCTAGCTTATGTGATAGAGGAGACACTGTACTAAGCTAAGGGAGGTAGCTACCTAATGGAGGTGCCCCTGGAGTTCCCCTTTAGGTATCCCTATCTAAGTGAAAGGCATAGCCCTGCCTCTAGGAATTTTCCATCTGTTCTAGGGATAGGCTGAAGATGTTGAAGAGAGATAGAGAATGGGTACAAAGTGCACTGCAATGATTAGCACAGGAGAATGGGATAGAAACAAGGAGACAGACCTCTGGAGTCAGGCAACCAGAGGGGCACAGGAATGTGGGAGAGGCAGGGGAGGTAATAGCAGACAGAATGACCTTTACATTCGGAGTCAGGAAACCTCTGGAAACTCCTGGCCATGGCCCAGCCTCTCGAGGGGAACTTGGGTGAGTTCTATGGTACCCGTCTGTACAATGAGGCCAGTCCTGGCCAGGGTAGCTCATGGGAGGGAAGGAGGCCAGAGCAGCTGTCTGGGGTAAAGGCCACATGTGTGATGCCTTCTCATTCCAAGTGCTGGCTGAATGCGCTGCGTGGCAGGGACTCAGGACAGGAAGCAGGCCTGGGACAAGGAAGGGGGATTCCACAGCCCCAGCTCCTACCCACCCTGCCTAGACTATTTGTCTTTATTTTCTGGCGCCTAAGGAAACAGTTCCTGGCCTGGCCCAGAGGGCCAGAGGGCCAGAGGGCCAGCTGACTGGGCTCTGGCCATGCTCTAAGGACAGATGGAGATCTCAAGTGACAGAGGCCCTGGTCCTGCCACTGCAGGAACAAAAGGGACCCCCCACTTGGCCCAGAAGAGCCCCATGGCTGTCTTTCCCTACCAGTCCCGACTGCCAGGTGGTTTGCTCCTCTGATCTTGGAAAGGCCTTTCCTCCTCTCTCCCCTACGCCTCCAGTTAACTTCCACCTCCCCTCCTGCGGGCAGAAACACGTCTTTTCTCTTTTGATGTTAGTGGAGAGAGAGTTGCGCATGTTAGAACAGGAAGCATTCTTGGCCGTCACCCTGGCTGCCCCAGCTGATGAAGGCCCTGAAGCTCTTTCAGACTTACCCCATGTTACATGCCCTTTGGGTTAGCAGATCTGCAGTGAGGAAACCTGTATGCTGGACATCAGTTTAGGAGCTAAAAGGAGACCGGGGAGGTCGTCAAAGCCAGACCCGTCACTTCTATGCCTTTCTCCGTGCCTTTGTCCCTGCTGCGTCCCTATAGGGATTCCTTTTCCTTCAGACCCATTCTTCAGGCCCTACCCCTGTCCTGCCTTGAGAAGCCACCCAGCACTGAGCCTGCTCAGTGTTCACCTTCTCTGGAGGTCTTGGTCCTGCTCCAGCATCTTGATAGTTGATCATATATGGGCCTGTTTGTCCATTTGTTCATTCCCTCATTTATTCCATAAATATTTATTGAGCGTCTGCTATGCCCCAGGCTCTGGAGATTCAGCAAATAACATAACAGTCAAAAATCCCCCCTGCTCTAAAAGAAGTTTATATTCTAGTGGAGCGACTAGAAAATGGCTGAGTGAGTGAAACATGTGGTATGTTAGGTAAAGTGCTATGGAGAAATACAAACTATTTCTGTTTTGTGCTGGGGACACCAGAGGGAAGACGAAGGGCCAGGTTGGCTTGGAAAGAGCTAGAGCAGGACAGGATGAAAAGGACTAAGTGGGAAAACTACGATGTGAATGGGTAGACATGGAATGAGGTGGGATGAGATGAATGAACTAGAATCAAATAGAACTACATGGAGTCAAAGTTTGGATAGAATCAAACGGAAAGAAGCATGATTAAATAGTGTGCAATCTAACTCAATGGAATGTAATGAAACAGTTTCAAAAGCAGAATAGACTTAAATGGACAGGAGTCCATTGTAATGGGATGGAAGCGAATGCAGTAGAATTAAATGAGATGGGATGGAAGGAATAGATCTGTCTAAACTGAACAGGGCAGGATGGCACAGAAATGAAAGAATGGCTGGCCTGCCCACTCTGACCTTCTCCCCGCTTCCCCAACAGTGTTCCCCAGGGTGCTGCTGCGGACCCTGCGCCACCCCATCTTCCTGCTGGTGGTCCTGTCTCAGGTGTGCATGTCATCCATGGTGGCAGGCATGGCCACCTTCTTGCCCAAGTTCCTGGAGCGCCAGTTTTCCGTCACAGCGTCCTACGCCAACCTGCTCATAGGCGGCCTCACCATCCCATCGGCCATTATAGGCATCGTGGTGGGGGGCATGCTGGTCAAGCGCCTCCACCTGGGCCCCATGCGCTGTGGAGCCCTCTGCCTGCTGGGGGCGCTGTTCTGCCTACTTCTCAGCCTGCCCCTCTTTTTCATGGGCTGCCCTACCCACCGGATTGCAGGCATCACCCACGAGCCTGGGTGAGTGTGTGTGAGAGCGCGTGAGCATAAGCAGGCGGGGAGACGTGTCAGGGAGGGGGCCAAGACAAGGCCAGATGAATTAGGGGACCCATCTACCTCAAATCTCACTTTCCACCAGCACCTTCTCCTCCCCTCCCCACCTACCTTCAGAGCAGTGGGACTTCTGTCTCCGGGTCTCCGGTGAAGGTGTCAGACATCACTAGAAGGGGCAGGGAACATCACAGACAGGACAGTTTGGGTCTGCGGAAAGATGGAAGCCAAGGCAGGGCAAAGCCACTCGTGGGGATGGCATCTCCAGAGTGGCCAAGCCCTGTGGGCCAAGGGGAGGTGAGACAGAGGCCACGTCAGAGAGCAGGACCCAGCTCAGCCTGAGGAACACTTAGTTTCTGGCCAGAAGAAAGGCTGGCCCGGGAGCCTGCATACTCTCCATCCCTGGGGGAGGGGGGGCAGGAGTATAGAGAGAGGGGGCGAGCAGAGGGCTGGAAGCCATGTATCATGGATGCTGCAGAAAAGGCTTAAGCTCTAGGAAAGAGTTGGCTTACAGACCTCAAAGATTTGGGGTTTTTAGAGCCTGGCAACTAAAATTCTGTTGTCCCACGACCTTAAACATTTACAGAGTTCTTTTTCCACATCTGGGCAGTACCAGGAGGAAAGCCTCTGATGCCTATCTCCCTTCTCCATCTCTTTGTCCCCCCACCCTGCCTCAGGCAAGTGCCCTCTCCCAGTGGGGTCTGTCTTCGAGAGGATGTTGGAAGATACATTGCTGCCTCTTCAGAATGATTTCACTTTTCCCGGGAACTGCTCCAGGCTCAGGCTGGCCCAAGATGCAGCTAGAATTCCCCAGTTGTCTCCGTGCCCACCTCTCTCTGGGCACTTCCTCTCTCCACCCACATGCCAGCTCTCCCCACCTGCAGGAGGCACAGCTCAGGGCCCAGAAATGCGCAGCTCTTCCCTCTGTCCCTGGTCCCACAATAAAACCTCTCCCCCATCTCCCTTTCCCTTCCCCTCCTTCCTTCTCCCTTCTTTTCCCATTGAGGCGACTCTACTGCCTCCTGTCTGCAGAGCCCTTGTTCGAGGCATGGCTGGTGGAGCTTTAGCCAGGCCCTCTAAAGTCCCCTGTTTGAGGAGCGAGCCAGAGCCTTTAAATGATTTGTAAAGAGCAAATGGATATTTTCGCACCAGTTTTGCAAAAAGGAAATGGAAAAAAGTCACCTAGCACACATGCCAATTTCCCTTCCCTTCTGCCTCTCACCTTGACTCTGACATCTCATCTCACTGTGTTCTCCTCTTTGTGCAATTCACTCAACTGAGCTTTGGGCTCTAATTCAGTGAAGAAGCCTTTTGGGACAAACTGAGCAAATTAAGGAGAATTTCTCATATTCCAGCCCAACTAATGATACTTACAGCCGCCAAGAACTGAGGGTCTCCCGTGCTCCCAGCGTCCTGCCCAGTTCTTCCCATATTCTGTCTCATTGAATCTTCACAGGATCTCTGAGATGGGTCCTACCATTATCCCCATTTCACAGATGAGGATAGAGAGGCTCAGAGAGGTGAAGTCACTCACCCAGGGCTGTCCAGCTGGGAGGGGCCGAGCCTGACGCCAGGGCTCTCCCCACAGGAGCAAGGGGCCGAGGAAGAGCCCCCAGCTCTCATCCACTCGGCCTTCCTGACGAGGGTCTGCCCCTGGATGGAGTCCCCTGGTGCAGCTTCAGTTCCAGCAGTGCCAGCCCATTCCCTCCGCTGCCTGGCAGAAAAGGAGGGAGAGATGATCTCCCGGCCCCCCCCCCCCCCCCCCCCCCCGTTGGAGGGAGACTCCTCTGAGGGAAGGAGAAGGAGTAGAACTCACCTCTGCCCCGATGCTCTCCCTCCCCACTCCCAACTCTGGCTACAGGCTGGCTGACTCAACAGTTGTCCTACTCACTTCCCCTGCCCCTGCTGGGCCTCTTCTCCAGGGAACCGGGATGGCACAAAGCTGGCCAGGCCTGCCACTCTGTCCATACCCACCCTAAGTCCACAGGACCCTCAGCTGGCCACTCTGGCCTCCTCTGTAGCCTGGCCATAGGCTCCCTGGCAGGTTTTCTCCCTCTTAGTTATGAAGTCAGGTCACATTCTGAGTCCCAGGGGCCCCCTCTGCACCTCTCCCAGGGTGACTTACCCCTTGAACTCATCCTCTCTTCTGATCTCCTGCCCCTGTCCACCCCATGTTGCCCCAGCTGACTAGAGTGGGGGCACTCCTGGGACTTGGGGGCAGGCCCTCCAGAGGGAATTGGCAGGACTAAGTCCTGCAGTAGCTACAGTGAACAGGGTAGTGATGTGAGCTGAGAGGTTGTGAAACTACAGGATGGCGATGGGAGGGGGTCCCCAGCTGAGCTAAGGGAGACACTGAGGCCCAGTGAGAGGCAGGGACAGGTCAGTGATCCTGCAGCTAGTCAGGTGCCCTGACTGGTCCCAACACACATAACTCGAATTTTCTAAGAAGAGGAAGCAATCCAGCTCATCAAGAAAAAAGCACTTTTCATCTGAAACTAAATTCTGGGATGAGTTTATCTTGTGTTCCCTAAAGAAGGGCCACTGAAGAGTGGAGATGCTTGCAAAAATTCAAAGGCTTGTAGGGTGTTGGGGCTAGAAGGGGTCTCAGAGGCCTCCATCCGACTGTGCTCCCTGCTTCTCCCATTGGGAGGCCTCCCGCAGCTTCTAGTTCATCTCCCTGCTTGCACATCTCCATTGCAAGGTGCCCACCACTGCACCTTCATGGAACAGCCCTGACAGTGAACAAATCTCTGTGTGGAGTTGAAACATGTGGGCATTGCTCTTGGGGTGGGGAGCTGGGCTGCAGGGGTGAGGCGGCCAGGAATCCAGGCTAACTCTGCCAGCTTTCTCTCCCCCCAGCAACTTGCCTGGACTAGAACAGTTTCCAGCCTGCAGAGGGAATTGCTCCTGTCCATTGGACGACTTTAACCCTATCTGCGACCCCAGCACCCATGTGGAGTACCTCACACCCTGCCAGGCAGGCTGCACAAGCCGGGTGGTCCAGGAGGCTCTGGACAAAAGCCAGGTGGGTCCGGCCTCTGACGGCTCCCTCTGCCTCCCTGGGGCTCTCCTCCCCTCCCTGTCTTTGTGCACCCATCACACTTTCCATCTTTGGACATTCTCATTCTGTGGCTTTTCCGTCTGTCTATCTGTTGGCCAGTCTGTCTCCTTCTGTTGGCCGATGTAGAACATTATTCTCACAATAAACTTTTATCACCAGTCTGGGCCCAGCCATGGGCCAGGCCCCAGAGCACAGGGGTGAACCAGATCTGGCTCCAGCTGTCTGTGCAGGGGAGAGGCAAAAGGAAACAAGTCAGGAATTCCAGGGCTGGTGGTAGGCAGGAAAAAGGGTCCCCACAAGTACAGACAAGGATAGAAGAAGATACATCCTGCCTGGAAGGGTCCTGGAAGGCTTTCTGGGAAGTGGCCTTTGAGCTGGATCTTCAAGGATGAGTGAGCAAACTAAGAAAGGGCTTTCCAGGCAGGGGGAGCAGCAGAAGCAGAGTCTGAGAGCGAGCATGTGCACATGGCACACGCACACACGCACACATGCACACATGCACACATGCACACATGCACACAGCGTTTCAAGAAACTGCAAAGAACTTGTTGGAGCAGAAGCATAAGGTTTCAAAGAGGGAAAGCGAGGCCCAGGCAAAGAAGAACCTTGAATGCCAGGCCACCAGCAGGGACCGTATCAAGAGAGTGATGGGGAGCCTTGGATAGGTTTTAAGCAGGCAAGTGACAGGGCCTAATCTGTGTCTGATCACACTTGAGACCACAGTGTGGAGGAAGGTGAGCAGAGTGCAGGCTAGGAGACAGGGAGACGGTGGGGAGGCTGGCACAGTGAGCCCGGTCGGTCAACAAGTCAGTCAACAAACCTTCGCAGAATCCCTCCTCTGTGCCAGGCCCTGTGCTGGGGACTGAAGACCCAGAGGCAAGAGGCCTTACCCTCAAGGGACTCCCAGCAGAGAAGAGAGGGCAGAATAATCAGCAGCGTGCACTCTGTGAACCTTAAAAAGGTCACCGAGACTAGCCACTCCTCTTTCCCTTTCTCCTCAGTCCCCCCCAAAGACAAATGAGGATAATATCAGCCTTCCTCAGGCCCCCAGGCTGTAGATTAACATGTGTGTATGTGTGGGGGGGGGAGGTGCTGGGGGGGGTACAGTGTCAGGCTGGTCATTAGGACACCATGTCCCTCTCTCCAGGGCTCCCCACCTTTGTCATGCGGAACCCCTGCCTTTGCATCCTCCTGGGTATCAGCATCTAAGCCCAACGTTCCTCCAGGTAGAGAGACCTGGACCTCACGGCTAGTGCAGAATAAAGCACCTGGTCAATGGTGTTTCAGAACCAACAGGAGCCACCTGGGCTGTGCAAACCAAACCGTATTTGCAATAATCATAATCCCAGGCCTTGGGCCTCCTTAGCACTCACTGTTCTTGCCGGGTTTGATCTCCCTAAGACCCTTCCAGAGGACCCCAGGCCCTGCCAGCTGAGGCAAGATCCCTAAGAGAACAGTAAACGTTTGTGGATATGGGCCCCTGAGCACTAAGGCCAGGCCACCCAGTTCAAATCCCTATTCTACCTATAACTGGCTCTGTTACCTTAGGCAAATTATTTGATCTGTGCCTCAGTTTCCTGGTCTATAAAATGTAGGTGATCATAATGAGTACCCACTGTATACTAGCCACTGTGCCAAATGCTTGCCTCAGCTGAATTCATTGAATAGCAAGTGAAGAGCCATATTGACATAACCTACGAAAAGCACTTAGCGTGCCTAGTGGCTGGGACATTTTAAGCACTTGGTGATACACACTCCTGCTATGTCCATTATACAGATGAGAAATGGAGGCCCAGGGAAGGATTCGGCATTGCCCAAAGACTTAGTGCCAGAGCTGGGATTAAAACCCAGGGTTCTGGCCTCCCAGCCCAGCCCCCTCCCCAGAGCATCCTCAGAGGTTGTGTCTGGGTATAGTATTGGGGGGAAGGTGCAGCTGGGCCCTGGTCAGCATCAGGAACTGTCGCCCTGGCCTGGAATAGTCTCTGGCCTGCCTCTCCAGGTCGATGGTGAGCTCATGGGCTCAGGGCTGGGTCAGTCAGCGCCCAGCATGGCTGCACTCAGTAACCATTTATGAACACGTAAAGGACCAGGAGAAAGATGGAAAGAGGTGGGTGCTTGGTGGGACCTGGGGCTCAGGGGGTAAGGCTGAATCCCCCTGAGGAGTGAGAATCAGAGGCAGCTGGAGAGACTGAAGTCATCCATAGGAAGAACTTCCTGCCAGAATTAGATGAATGTGAATGAGGGCTGGGAAAACCCCAAGAGAAAGGCCTCTCACTCACTTTGTGTCCACCCCTGCAATCTTCTGCTCCCCAGAAAAGGCACGGGGGCAGGTGATTTCTCTTCCAGTAATCTTGCCTTCGCATATTTCTCTCCTTACCTGTCCTTCCATTGAACCGGATGGGCTGCTTAGCCTGTAGGCAAAGGTCCAAATGGTGTGTGCTCAGCCTTAGCGTGTGCAGGCGCTCTGCGAGGCAATGGAAAGAGCACCCAGTTACCCAAGCCTGAATCCCAGGTCTCTCTCTTCCTCATTTTGCCTTGCCCTAATTTTATCTATTAAATATCTCTCAGATCAAAACCCTTTTCTGTATTCCCCACCCCCTCCTCCTGCCTCCCTACCACTCTCTCCACATTGGGCATCTTGGCCTGTCTTCATGCCCCCCACCCTCCCCCTCCCCGGGCCGTCCCCTCCCAGGGGCCAGAGCAGCTTTTGTACTGTCAGGTCTTGTCCCTTCCAAGCTTACAATCTTCCCAAGGCTCCCAGGGTCCAGCTCAGGGCCTCCCAACCCTTTCCACAATGGGAAGTGTCTGAGGCCGCCAGGGTTGAAGGTGAGAGGCTGCCCCAGGCCGACCAGACCCCCTCAAGGGCTGATGGGACCCATCCCTGCACACCTGTCTCCCAGCAGAGGCCGAGGGTCCCTGGGGCACCCGGTCAGAAACTCTGATCTATGGGGAAGAGAAGCCTAGGCTTCCTGGCTTGCTTTGCTCCTGTGAGGCGCCTGAGGGGACTGGCAGTCTAGACCACTTCTGAAAGAATCCTAGGCTGGAAGTTTTCCAGGCCACGGTAGGGGGTGGGAATTTGGGCTACAGTGAGACACACCCTTGGGCCAGCCTAGGGGCCATTCCTTACAGTTTGAAAAGGAGTCAGCTTTTACTCAGACCTCAGCCTCTGGAGGGGTCCCAGTTTTCTGGGGGTCTCCTAGTAGACTTCACCCTGGCAGGAGGGAGGGCTAAGATTTATCCTCTGGCCCTGAAGCCCCCAGACCTCAGAAAGCTGTACTCCCTAGTACAAGTTCCGCAAACATATCGCGGCCAAAGCTTATTTCCGGATTCTGCTCACCTCCCTGGATTCCAGGCTCTTAATACTAACCCGAGTTTTTCACTTTCTGCCAGCTCATGGATGCACTCAGGACAATGTTTTCAATACTTCATCCAGCATTTTAAGTTGTTGGCAGTATGATTGGCAGGGTGCTGGTGCACTGTGTTTCTGGAAACAGCAGTCCAGGTTCCTCTTTTGTGTCCCAAGCTGTTCACCTTGTCTTCCCAACGCAATCCTGGAGCGCCTCCCCTCTGCCCTCTCCTGCGTGCACGCTCTGCTCCAGGCTCACTGAAAGATTTGCTAGGTTCTTTCCTTCCACTTTCATGGGATTTTGCATTTGACCTTCCCTCTGCTCATTTCAGTTTTCCTCTCGGAAAACTCCTATTCATTCCTCAAGACCCAAATCCAACGCCCCTCTTCCAAGAAGCCTTCCTTGCCCTTCACGTGCTGAGCCAGGATGCCCACTGTGCTGCCTGCATCTCTCCATCCTTTTGGAGAGAAGAAATCTCCATTTTCTTGAGAGTCTAGTCTGGAACCCAGTGCCCTGGAAGAGGAACCCTGAGCTGGAAAATCCGAGTTCCTTCCCCAAAACACTCTGTTACTTTGATTCCTTGTGCAGCCAGTCGGGAATTTGGAACACTCTGGCATTACCAGGTGAAAGAAAGAGTGTGTGTGCACATGTGCATGTGTGTATGTGACTGGGTGAGTGTGGGTGTATGTGTGTGGGTGGGTGTGTGAGTGTATGTTGTGGGACTGTGGTGTGTGGGAGAGAGAGTGTGTGGTGTGTATGTGTATGATTGTGTGAGTGTGGGTGTATGTGAGTGTGTGTGAATGTGTGAGTGTGGTGTGGTGGGGCTGATGCTCTTCCAGGCCCCTCTCTCTTTTCTGTTCACCACTTCCCTCTCCCGGCAGCCTCAGCCCATGTGTGTGTGAACCATGCGTGTCCAGGGTCGTGCTTGGCTGCAGGGGTCAGAAATCCCAGCCTCCAGCCAGCTCCACCCCAGCTGGCTTGTGCCCTTGGGGCCTTCTGGGGCCTTCTGGGGCCTGGGCCAGCTGTTTGCCCTTGGAAGCTCCTGAAGGCTTTTCTCTGCCCCCTCCCCACCCTAGGTTTTCTACGCCAACTGCAGCTGCGTGGTAGGGGGAGGCCCTGTGCCCGCGGGCTCCTGCGACTCCGCCTGCAGCCACCTGGTGCTGCCCTTCATGTTCCTGGTCAGCCTGGGTGCGGCACTGGCCAGTCTCACCCACACACCCTCCTTCATGCTCATCCTAAGGTGAAAGCGGGGGCAGGCCACACCTGGTGGATACCAAGAAGTCCTTAACCCTAGGCAGGACAAGGAATCCTGAGGGAGGGGTTCCAAGAAGGAGGCCACTCGGGTGTGCTGGGCCCCCCGCAACAGGCCAGGCTCTCGCTGCCCCGTCTTCGTCCTCACGGCAACCTGCTAAAGTGAAGTTTCCTCCCCATTTACAGATAGGAAAACCGAGGCTCAGAGAGAGTCAGATGTCAGCCCCAGGTCTTGTCACAGCCGCTGGGCGGAATAGTACTGGTGCCTGCACCAGAGCCCAGGTCCTCACTTGCCTCAGGGGACAGGAGGCCACACCTAAGGCCCTGCCCTGGCCACCCAGTCACAGCAAGGAGAAAGTGGAGTGTCCCCCGACTCCCCGCCCCCACCCTACCTGTGATGAGTGGGCCACAGGAGGTACATCCAGAAAACCAAGCCCTGTAAGTTGTGGCTCATGAGCCTTCAAGTCAATAAGCACTTGTGTGTCCACTGTGGACCCAGCCCACGCAGAGCACTGCTTCTTGGTTCATGTTCTTTCTGGCCTTTGTCCTGAGGGTGCCTGCTGGGACCGACAAATTGTTACCTAAGGCCAAAGTCAGCATTCCTAGGGTGGGGGCTGGAATAAGGGGACCTCAGAGCAGGACAATTCTAAATTTTCATCATGTTGGGATTATTTTGGTTCCCCATCTGTTTCCTAGAAAATTAGAAGGGGGATGGAGACCCTCATAAACACGACAAGACATGTAGATCTGTAAAGCAGCCTGGCCAAAAGAGAAGGTAGAGGAATCAGATGCCCCAGCAAGGCAGCCCGTTTAAGAGGAGTTACGGCAGGCGGTGTGCTCACAGATTCTTTTTTTTTTTTTTTTAATTTTTTTTAACGTTTATTTATTTTTGAGACAGGGAGAGACAGAGCATGAACGGGGGAGGGTCAGAGAGAGAGGGAGACACAGAATCTGAAACAGGCTCCAGGCTCTGAGCTGTCAGCACAGAGCCTGACGCGACGCTCGAAATCACGGACCATGAGATCATGATCTGAGCCGAAGTCGGACGCTTAACCGACTGAGCCACCCAGGCGCCCCTCACAGATTCTGACCCCCTGACGCCCACCAGCTGTGAGGTCTTGGCCAAGTCAACCTGTCTAAACATTCATCAGTTTCCTTATCTGTAAAATGGGCCTGATGGCATAAACGACCTCATGGGGGTGAGGCGGGGGTTGCAGTACAAAATGAGCTCATAGGGAGCACTCCCAAAACACCAGCTGCTGGTATTACTACAAAGGAGGAGCCAGTGATTTCCAGGGCAAACTAGGCTGGGGCTTCCCGGCACCTGGGGATGTTGGAAGCCATGTCTGGCTGGCTTTGCCAAGTGTAGGAGGAGAGGGGAATCTGGTGGGCCCAGGGGTAGGGAGAGGGGAGGTGTCTGTGGCCAGGAACACAGGGAGGCCAGCACCGGACCCTGATGGCCAGTGGGGGTGCCTGGAACTGGGTGCTGGGCTCGACAGGTTGAAGGGAAATGGAATATGGAACCTGAGCCCACCCAACCCCAAACCCACAGACCTTCAGACTGGGGGAAGGCTGGCCCCTGGGTGGTGAGAGAGCAGGGGATGGTGAGAGCCCCTTGAGGGCCGAGACCCTCTCAATCCTCATGTCACCGTGTTTCTGCTTCTTAGGGGAGTGAAGAAAGAAGACAAGACACTGGCTGTGGGGATCCAGTTCATGCTCCTGAGAGTTTTGGGTAAAGAACCTTCCTGGGACCCTTAGACACCCACTGTGTGCTGGGCCTGTGGCACAGGGATGAGTGGGACCCAGTTCCTGACCTTAGGGTTCACAGGCTCATTGGGCAAACTGGACCTGGTACCCTGGAGGTGGGTGTGCAAGCAGCTAGAGGGCCATCCAGGGAGCCAGCATCTCACACCATGGTGAGGGGTGGGCTTGAGGGCCAAAGACTTATGGGACAAGAGGCCCCAGTGGCTCTGGGGGGGGGGGGGGTTGCATATGCCAAGGAGTAGGGGGGTTGGGTAATGCAGGATGCCAGGCCTGTTGTCCCCTGAGCATGTCCTCCTCCAGCCTGGATGCCCAGCCCAGTGATCCACGGCAGCGCCATCGACACCACCTGTGTGTACTGGGCCCAGAGCTGTGGGCGGCGGGCCGTTTGTCGCTACTATGACCATGACCTGCTCCGAAACCGGTGAGACCTGAGGTGGGGGGTGCCAGGGGCCCCCATGGGGAGGCTGCTGGAAATACTCTTGGGGTCTCAGGTGGGACAGCAGCAGGGACGAGAGGCCCATCGATATCCCCCTGCTAGGCAGCAGGTGCTATATCCAGTACTGAGCTCACCAGTCCTGTGAGTTGGCCACTGTCCCCCCACTCTTCTGGATGAGGAAAGTGACCCATTAAAGCAGCCCAAGGTCACACAACTGATAACACACAAAGCTGGGCCTCGAACCCAAATGGTCTAACCATGGTCTGTGCAGGAACATGTGTCACCGTGGCGGACCATGGGGGAGGATCAGGGGAGCAGCCCAGCTGTGAGAAAGATGGGGAGTTGAGGTGGGGTTGGGAGAAGGCCAATTTAGGACACAGGAGGCTTGGGATCCAGCCCAGCTCTGTCTCTTTCATTGGGAGACCTGTCTTTTCTGGAACTCAGTCTTCCCATCCGTGCAATGGGGAACCCAAAGAAACCTGAAGGCAGAGAGCTGCTGGGATGGGATAGGCGGTTGAAGGGGACTAGCTAACAGGGCTGGGAGCAGGGAGTTGGTCACTTCCAGCTCTGAGGACGGCATGGCTCCTGTGGGCTGGGACTGACTAGTGCCCATTCTATAGGAAGAAAGATCAAATAAGAGCTTTGGTGAGTTAGGGAAAGAGTGGAGAGGGAATCCTCTTGTGGCCGGTGGGGTGATCCCAAGTTGCAACTATCAGGCCCCCTGAGCCCTTAGACACAGAGGACTGTCCCAGGCTATAAGCCAGCTGGGGACAGGGCAGGGAGGATGCCCAGGCTTCTGCCTCCCTGTTCAGGACTCCTTCTGCAGAGCATCTCCCCCTTTTCCAGGGAAGGGGCTAATTCCAGGGGCTTCCCCATCTCCCCAACCAAGGCCATGGTGATAGGGTCCATTGCCCTGGGGCTGGAAGCCTCTTTTCCACCCGCAAGGTCTCAATGTCTCTGATCACACAATGGGTGATGATTGCTGACCCTACTCTGCCCCAGGCCAAGGCCATCCAAGCCCTAGACAAGGGAGGTCCTGAGTTGACAGGTCCCTTGCTCTTTTCCAGGTTTGTCGGCCTCCAGTTCTTCTTCAAGACAGGCTCCCTGGCCTGCTTTGCCTTGATTTTGGCCATCCTAAGGCAGCAGGACAAAGAGGAGAGGACCCAGGTCACCGTATCCATCCCTGGCCTACAGCAACAGCAGCCATTAGTGTCAGGGCCAGAAAAGAAGCCTGAGGAATTCAGAGCGTGAGCTGGTCCCAGAGTGGCTGCCACTGGGAATACCTCCTCTGGGCTCTTTGCCCAATATTGGGTGTCAGGAACCCCATTTTCTAATTCAGACTCCTCTGCTAACTTGCTATGTGACTTTGGGCAAGTTTGACCCTCTCTGGGCTTTTGTGACTCATCTGAACCAAAGAGTTGTCTAGGGTTTTGGTGTGTTGGCCACTTCTAATGCAAGATGGTCTTCCCCCTTCCTCCCCCAGCCAGACAGGCTGACCTGACCAGGCTTTCCTGGTGGAAGGACTGCATATCTTTCTCCCAGGTCCTAAGATAGAGAAGTAGACAACAGTAGGCCAGGCTGCCCTGCACACCTGGTCCTAGCCTAGCTTTGCCACTCACCAGGAGCACCCTCTCTGGGCCTCAGCCACCACCTCTGTCAGGTGGAAATGGACTTGCCAGCTTTCAGGCCTCTTCCAGCTATGACCATCTGTGTGGTCAGTATGGACTCAAGTCTCATCTCCAGCCCCACTCAGCCTGGAGGTGGGGCCAGGACAGCCTCCGGCAAGAAGTGTCCATTTGGCGCCCCCTGGAGGCAGAGCCCTGAACTCTGAGCGGGACCTACTAGGGAGGGAGCAGGCTCACAAGACATCCAGGCTGGTCGGGGCCTCCAGCAAACCTGGTGTGAGGGCCCCTGGGGAGTTAGCTGAGGCGGAGTCTCGCTCTCTGGACTCAGGAAGTCCCAGTCCTTGCCCTCAGGGAACCACAGTCTGGGTGTGGCCTAGTCTCTGCCTTCAGGGCTCCAGTGGGGAGGGAGACCCAGGTCCCACACTTGGGCATTTTCTGACTTCAAAGACCAAACACACTCTGCACACATTCACTGGTACTTATGCATTGCCAAGATTTCACTCTGACCAGGGCCCACCAAAGTCACTGTTACTTTTGTGACTAGATCCTAATTTCAACATTTCCTTCCTGGTGCCTAACTCTTTGTGGCCTGGGGCTGTATAGATGCCTGGTTCTGTGATAACCATGCTTTGGGGGGTAACATCTGGTTCTCTGTGATGCCTGAGTTGGTGTAAGCACCTGTTCTTTGTAAGGCCCAGGCCTAGAATGCTGGGACTTGTTAATGTCAGGCTCTATGTAATGAGCGGGTCTGTGGGATGCTTGTGTCTGAACCAACTGGTCCTTATCTTCAGTGGCCTTGTCTTGTTTTATGGCTAGTCTTATCTGGCCTGGTTATCTCCCTGAGAGGGGGAGAGAGTTTCCCCCATCTACTCCAGCCCATTCTGTTGCCACCACATACCTGACCTGGCTGGGACCTGCTGCTTGGGAGGCAAGAGGCAGATCTGTCAGCAGCAGCTTCCCAAGCCCTGTGCTGGAGGCAGGGGAGAAGCTGGGAGGCAGGTGGCGGGCAGGAGGGCAATGCAGCTCTGACCCTCTGAGCATCTCCCTGTGGCAGGGCTTTGAGGCTCTCCCATGTGAAAGAGGAAGGGGAAGGTACAGAAGTTCTCACTCCCATTTTGATTCTATTGGCTGGTATCTTTAAATGTTTAACATCTATCTGAGCCTGTTATCAATGCCAAGAATTTCAAATTCTCCTCCAACAAGAGGAGGCTGTTTACGTTTTATATTCCTTTTCCCAGGTTTTGCAGAAATAATTTGGAGTTATAGATACAGCTTATTATTAAATTTGTTCTTGCATAATGTCTCTTCTATTACAAAATTCCTTTCTTACAAACTGCATTAGAGTTTGCAACAACCACATTACTTCCAGCTATTTAGATTTAAGTTTTACTGGATTCATTATTCACTATTATTTCTTATATATGACATCTTTCCCTGTCTGTATATTCTGGTCTAATTTTCATTTGACTGGGTTACTTCCTCTAGTCATGGTTTCAGAAATGGGATCAGGTCATGAAGTTTGTGAGGCTTCACCTGTCCAAATTGTCATTCACGTTTTACAGAAAAGGAAACAGTTCAGAAAAATTAAGCAACTTGCCAAGATCAGACAGAACATAAATGGTGAAGCCAGGGTTTTGTGCAAATCGAAGCTTATAAACTTTGGGGAGCCCTCTTTAAAAGAAAAAAGAACACAAAATTGGTAAGAAAGAGTGAAAATTTACCTATAATGAGAAAAGAAGTAAAAAAAATACATCACACAATTCAGGAAAATAGCATACTTTTTACTAACTCTCGTGCGCACCTCTAAAATACATTTTCCCCCCTGACGATTGGAAGGAATTTCTGCAGCCTCGCTTCTGGTTCTGTCACTGCAAACCTGTTTCTTCTCTAGTGCCCATGTACTTCCAGGGCCAGGTAGCATAAAACACATTCATGCTATGAGATGACCTCTGGATATGATATCTTGATGTCACAATGCTGAGCTGGACAGTGAGGAGGAAGATTCTTAGAGGCCATTCTCTATACAGAGGTAGCTAGCAATGATTTATCTATATACAGAGGGGACTGAGAATCACATAAATATATCCCAATGAGCCCAAATTAAGGTGATCCCCATTCAACTGCCCCTTCGCCAGATCCCAGAAATGCCCATGGCCCCTCCAACCACCTCACATAAAGAGAAACTGGGACACGAGTAGCTGGAGTAAAAGGAACTAGCAATCTTAACTGCTTGTGGTTAAAGCATCTTACTTTTGCAGATTTCCCAAGGATATGACAACCTGAACACATTGCAGAGGTCCCTTCCTGGGCCTAGAGAGAGACCCGGATACTCAAGCAGCATTAGCTTCATGCTGAATCTGCCTCTGGGTCAAGCTCAGCTTTGAAGGAGAAAATGAGGTCCTTGTGTTTAAAATCTCCCAGGCTGGTCAGGGTGAGGAGACTCCAGGAGTCATCGCAAGAGAGACATGGGGCTGAGAGCCAGGGGTGGAACAGGTCAGGGCTGGAGGGGTTCCCAGGGACTGATGAATTCCAGGGAGCCATGCTCTTATGGCCTCTGGCCAATGAGGAGCCACAAGCTATTGCATCTGTGAACTCACTTTCTTCTCACCCTGCCGTTAGAAGTTGGGAGAAGTCATTAAAGTCTCCATGCTCGAGTCAACTGGTGGTAAAATCTAGCAGTTTCTCCTGGGACCAGAACGAACATCTTGATGCCTGGCCTAGAGGCCCTTTGGCAGACCCACCCTGGAAAGTTGCAGGTCAGGCAGATGCCTCTCTCGAGCTGGGAGCCAGGAGCCATGATTGGAGTGCAAATAAATGAAGAGCAAGAACCCACAGCACCTTTGACATTCTTTGGCCACGTTGAATTCTTTCCCCCTAACATTCCCCAACACGGGCACTTCCCGCTACCTAGTAGGCCTGCTTCATCCCCACCCCACTGCTTGGCTTTACATCCCACCTCATGAAGTCCTACCCAATCTTCCAGACTCAACTCAAAGGCCACCACCTCTACAGAGAAAGCCTGGTAGAGGTAATGGAGGGTGGATGACAACCACCTTAAAGACACTGATAAAAAGATACATCTCCATTAAAATTGCACACATATAAACACTTGTGCATCTGATTTCAGAGGCTGGGGACCATCTGAAGTCTGGCTGTAGACCTCTGGTGGAGTGGAGTGAAAAGAACAGTTTTAGAGTCAGTGAGCTTTGGATTCAAATCCTGACTGCCACTTACTCACAATGTGACCCTGAACAAGTGATTTGACTTCTCTGCATCTGTTTCTTCACTTGTGAGGCTGATCCTTCCTCTTTCCTGTCTCCCAAAAGTTGTGAAGATCAAATAATAACATACAGGCAGTGCACCTGATGACCAATATTTGTACGTTTCCTTCTCCTGTCCCTGAAAGAATTTAAGGCACACATAGAACATGGGGGCAGGATCGAGGTGAAGACAGAGGGAGGAGCCACCAAGGAGGGAGACACACTGCCCTGGCTGCAGCTCTGTTTGTCCCCTAATCTCTCTTCCACTGTCAGCCAGGGCTCAGCCTGCCCAGCCTTATCTCTCCCCACAGCCAGCCTGGGACAGCTTTTCTCAACTAGATTTACATTTTTATTGATTTTCTTTCTCCCTTCTAGAGCAGTCCCTTCCCCTGCTGCCCCTTTTGCTATAAAATGGGCTTACCCTGGGAAACAGTAGTTCTGGGGCTGACCAAGAAGTGATGGTTCAAGGATGGATTCATTCACCATTCATTCATTCGTTTGTTCAACCACCCACCCGACCAACAAATCCTACATGGCTGCTCTATGCACCTGTGCTGGCACTGCTGGGGACACAGTCACGTGTCAGATACAGCAAACTCCTAGTGTAAGCAGACAAGCTGACACACAGTGACAAAAGCATGAGTAGTCATATAGGGAATAAAGAAGAGGAAGCCACAAACTCTTCCTGGGGCCATCAGGAAAGTCTTCCAGAACATGTTAGATCAGAGCTGGCTTAGGAGATTAGGCAGGAAGTCCCTAGGTAAGATGAAGGGATTGGGCATGAGAAACACTGGGATGCACAAAGATAGGGAGACATGAGAGAGCAAGGTGCGTCTGAGATATGACACAAGAGCAATGTGGCAGGGGTGTACTGTGCTGGGTGGGGCAATCAGGAGAGACAGGAGAGCTGAGGCTGGAGACACCACTGGGGACTAAGCCTTGAGTTCCAGCAGAAGGCTTTGGATATCTTCCTGAGGGCAAGGAGAAGCCCTTGAAGCATTGATTGATGGATAATTCCATTGACTGGTTATTTTAAGTGGAGTGACATGACAAGATTTGTGTTTTAGAAAGGCTGCTGGCTGCACCATGGGGGCTTTGAGTGGTAAAGGGAAGCTGGAGGCCAAGATCTCAGGCAGGAGGCTGGTGCGCTAATCAAGGGGAGAATTAGGAGGTCCTGAACCGGGTCAAGAGAGGCATCCTAGAAGTGGGGACATCTAAGCTGAGTCTTGAAAGATGAGTAGGAACACACCAGGTGGAGAAGCTGGGAACGGTGTCCAGGGAAAAGAAAGGGCACAGATAAAGTCTCAGCATACAGAAAGCTCCTGGCAGGCTTGGGGAATTTCCACTAGTTCAGCATGGCTGCAGTGTGGCCTAAGAGAGGGGTCATGGTGAGGGATGAGGCTAAAGAAGTGAGTTGGGGCCTTAAACTTCTCTCAATATTCTGTCTCTGGAAGCAAAACTCAGGTGGGAGAGAAGAGGGGGAGCGCTGGCCACCTGTGCAGAGGTAGCTGTGTGGGACTGGGAGGGCCCTGGGTCAGGGGTGCTCTGTACTCAAAGCAGACCTTTCCATACTCAACAACACTTCACATTTTACAAAATCCCTTCACACTTGATCTTCACGGTTTCCTGGTGAGGCATGTGGGACAAGGGTTATATTTCCCATATAGTGGACAAATAAACTAAGGCCTAGAAAAGCACAAACATTTGTCCAAGGTTACTCAAGAGCCTCTCAAAATTCCACTGTTTGTTCTAATAAAACTTCTTGCCACAGAATCACATATACACACTAGATGATGTAGTGGCTGCTAACTAATGTGATGGAATAAAAAAAAAAAAATGAGAGGAGACACATCAGAGAGACCTCCTCCTCCTGTTCTGTTCCTTAAACTTCACCCTGCAGACATTCCAGCTGAGAAAACAGAACCAGGTTCTCCCTCTGCTCTGGAATCCAATAAACATGAGGGCAAATTCCAGCTGTGCCACTTTCCAGGTGTGAGGGGTCACTGCACTCAGCATTTGTTTTCTAATCTTAAAAATGGAAGGAATGGGGCACCTGGGTGACTCAGTCAGTTAAGTATCCAATTCTTGATTTGGACTCAGGTCATGATCTTGCAGTTGTAGGATGGAATCCTGCATTGGGCTCTGTGCTGGGCATGGAGCCTGCTTAAGATTCTCTCTCACTCTCTCTCTGTGTATGCATATGATTGCTGTCTGTCTCTCTCTCTCTCTTTCTGTCTCTCTCTCCCTCTCTCCCTCCCTCCCTCTCTCTCTCTCTCTCTCTCTCTCACACACACACACACACACACACTATGGAAGACACAAACTCCACCTTTCAGGGTTGTTGTGAGGGTGTAATGTGACAATATAGCACTACAGCAGTTAACTACTGCTGAGTAAGAAACTACCCCAAAACTTAGCAGCTTAAAATAACACATATTTATTATCTCACACAATTTCTGAGGATTGAAAACCCAGAAGCAGCTTAAAATGACGCATGTTTATTATCTCACACAATTTCTGAGGATTGAGAACCCAGAAGTGGACTGACTGTGAGATTGTGGCTCGGGATCTCTCATGAGGTTGCAGTCAAGTGTCAGCCAGGGCTGCAGTCATCAGAAGGCTTAATGGGGATCCACTTCCAGTCTCACTCTGTGGTTGTTGTCAGGCAACCATTTTTTGCTGGCAGTTGGTCAAAGGGTTTAGTTTTTACGCAAGCCTCTCCATAAGGGTACTCTTGCCATGGTGGCTAACTTCCCCTGGAATGAATGATCCAAGAGAATGTGTGCTACCAAGATGGAAGCCATGGTGTCTTTTCTAATACAATCTTGGAAGTGATATGCCATAACTTTTTCATATTCTATTGGTCACACAGACTAACCCTGGTACAATGTGGGAGGGGAACACAAAAGTTGTAAACACCAGCAGATATGGAGCATTGGAACCAGCCATTGGAAGCTGGTTACAAGTGGCCAGAGGAGTGTCTGGCACACAATTATTCATTAGTAGCTGCTGTTAGTTTCCCAATGCTCACAGACTGCGTGGGACAACAAGACTTGAACATGAACAGATGAAAGAGCTTGGCAAAGTAGACTTGAATTGGGTGATGCTCAATTATGTGGTAGAAGAGGGTGTGCTGGATAAGGGTGGAAACCAGGGCAGGATCCCTAGCAGAGGTGAAAAGGACAGGAGAGGCCAATCCAGAGAGGAGACAGAGTTAAGTATGGCAAGAACTACTGGTTGCCTTCCTATAGCCAATTCCCTTTCCTTGTTTTAGTAGCAAGGTACCTAGCCACAGGGATAATCCAAACCATTCATGGAAATGCCTTCCTCTTCACCAGTGAGTAGGCTAAGAGTAGACATGTGGCTTCATTTTGGTCAATAAGATGTAAGGGGATGATCCGCTTGGAAAAATCTCCTCCTGGATGACACAGGCATGAGAGAAGAAGAACTTTTATGCTCCCATTCCCTTTCTTCCTGCTTGGGAGTACATGGTGCTTGGTGCCATATCAGCCATTTTGTGATCACAGAGGAGTCCCTCTCAGAGCTTAGAATTGGAAAAGCCTTGATCATTAAACATGGTTGAGTCACCAGACAAACCTGGACCTACCTTCCCCCCTCTCCTTGTTAAGGAAACAAAAGGTTTAAGCCTCTAAATCAGGTATTCTCTTACTTGCATTCTAACTGATTCAGTGAGCAAAGTATTCCAATTCCCTCTGGAGTTATTTCCTTTTCCCAAGGCAGATAGAGTGGAAATGTAAATGGGAAAGTGACTTGGCCTTGGAGGCAGGCGGCCTTGGTCTAACCCTAGCTCTGCCTCTGAGTTGCCCTGTGATCTTGAGCAAGTCCCTGCCCCTCTGGACCTCCAATAATTATAGCTAATATTTATTGACTGCTTACTCTGTGCCAAGCACTCCGCTAAGAGCTTCCCTTGCATTATCTCATTCAATGCTCACATCAACTATAGTGTGTCAATATTATTATTCTCTCTATTTTATGGATAAGGAGACTGAGATCCAGACATATTATGTAATTTACCCAAGGTTACACACGAAATTAGTGCTGGATCTCTGGATTCTGAATTCAGGCTCATCTCTCTCTAAAACCCAGGCTCCTGACCATGATGCTCTACCACCCAGCGGTAAAAGGAAGTCTCTGGACAAAATGACCTCTAAGGGCCTTTCCAGCTCAGATATTCTTTGATTTGCTGTCCCATTTCTAGCTACATGATGAACAAACCAGCTTATCCTAGAGAAGAAAGAAATAAAGACTGTCTTTAGCCATATGAAAAGCTGTCATGTGAGTGGGAGATTAGACTTTCTCAGTGTAGCTCAGAGGACGTGAACTGGACCAATGTGGGGACACTACAGGAAGAGAGTGCATCTTACATAAGAGAGAACTTTCTATCTGCCATTCAGCAGGGAGTAGAGGTATGCACACAGATAATGACTCCCCTGTCATGAAACTTATGCAATATATGTTTGATAAACTTTTGACAGAAGTACTCCATTGAGTAGGTATGGGAATAAATGGCTTAAACCTTATAGTAGAAATTAAATGGGAAAATATACTAGAATACTCTCAGCACCATAACTGATAAAATAGTGGGAGTCGATAAACTGGGGTTTCTTTTCCCTTTTGACACTGAGATTCTTGGATTTTAATATTCCCTAATATGGACTTTTGGTTCTTTGGCTCTAGTATTCTATAGTATTTCTATAACTTCAAGACACTGTGTTCTGCCCTGCTAAGTTGGTACGGTTTTAATATTCCAACTATCCATGGTCATGTGGCTCTAGAAGCTGAGCAGTCTATGATTTTGTACCTTAATAGTCTCTAGTTTTAACAGTCCAAGATTCAATAAAGTGTCTCCCAGAAGCTCGAGAAATATGAAGGAGTTGTTCCAAATACTGTACTTCAGTGACCAGGACATACATTGGGCTACTCCCTATGTCCATCTTATCACTCCACCACTATCCCCCCACCCTAGCCTCGGGCTCTTCATTCCAACCAACCCTCCTCCTTGATCTCTATACCATCCTCACTCTGCTATCTCCCCAAACACTGAGGAAGTACATTCACTCTCTATCTGCTGGCAATTATACATTGAACAAGGATCCGCTCTGTGCCAAGACTTGTGCTTACTCTAAAGGGGATATAAGGGAAGGAGAAGGCATGGTCATGACTCTCAGGAGGCCTAAGATTTAGAGACCCAAGTCTCTTGCTTTCCTTTAAGTTCAGCTCAAGCTCACCTCTACCAGCAAATTTTCCTTTATTAACACAAAATATCTAGCACCAAAAACCTCAATCAGAAGTGTGAATATCTGAGTTCTTTGGTAGGTTATTGTGTACATTTTAATGTCTCTGTCTATCGTCTCCCTGATTATAACTGAGGTTTCCCTCTAAATCAAGAACATGTCTCCTCAGCTGAACTGAGATTTTCCAGAGGAAGACCAGGTCTTCCTCATAAGACTGGAGGCTCCATGTAGACATGGTCCATGCCTCCCTTATATCATACTTGAGTTAGAGTTAAAGACACAGTGATGTTTCTCCACCACTTTAACAAATTCTCAAAGGTAGTTCATAACTATCATTGGACTGAGGATTTTATAAAAGCATAACTCACATCTCCCTTTAATATGGGAAAGTCCTCAAGGCCAAGAAAGGGCTTCCACCCTCATACTGGGGTCCATCTCCCTGACAGCAAAGCGTCTAGGGCTCTTCCCTCTCTTCCTATTTCTTCAATCCCAGCCGAGGACTCTAGCCATAAGAGATATTTTTCCTAAAGATGATAAACAAATAAATGGAAAAGGGAAGATTCAGAAGACAGAATAGGAACTCAAGCCTGTCCCCAGCAGGTCCAGACCTTTTCTTACTCTATCCTGGTCCATCTTCTAAAAGCTGCTGTCCCTCTGCCTCTCCTAGCAACTCAGAGCAGTAAGTGAAGATGTCAGCACCTTGGACAGCGCCCAACCCATTACAGTTCTCAGAGCCAGCGGAAGCCAAGCTCTCCAACTCCCTTAGCCTCTGGGTGATGGATTTCCTCGTTTCTCAATTTGATTAAAGCCCAGTAGATAAGCAGAGCGCATTGTTCCTTTCTCTTCTCTCTTCCTGATGAACATAATTAACTCCGTCAGGCTGGGAATACTTGCTCTTAAATAGTGCCTTTCCAGCCCCCACCCAGGCATGCGTCAATAATACACAGTCAAAACATTTGGAAGATACACGTTCTTTCCTGGGGAATGGAAGTGGGAGAGGAAGCTCTTCCTGAGATATACAGGGGCTGTGACTGGAGACTGAAAAATTGTGGTTGGGTAAAGAAAACCTTGAGCCAAAAGTCAGGAAATCTTAAGTTTGTTCTGGCCTTGCCACTAATCCAGATAGGATCTAGAACAAGTCACATGCTCTTTATGAGCCTGTTTTTTCCATTTATAAGATGAGGATATTGGATGAGAGGATCTCAAACGCTATGTTCAGTGCTTAGATTCTATGGGGAGGATTAAAACAGAGGGAAAGAGGCTTGCCTAAGGTCACAAAGCAAGCTCGTGGCAAAGCTGGTTTTGAATTCATGACTCCTGGCTTCTACTTCAGTGCTATTTCCTTTACACAGAACTTCTCCCTTCCTCCATATTACAGAATTTCTTGCCTGGGGATGTGGCTGAGGCAGCTGAAGAGGGGTGGGATTGAGATTATTGGTGCCAACAAAAGAAAATAAAATTTAAGGTATGTGGAAATGCTGATGTCTCTGAAGAGAGCAGAGAACATAGTAGAAATAATTAAAATTAGGGGGAAAGGACCACCTGATAGAGACAGAAATTCAACTCCAAACTCAGAGAATCCCATAGAGGCTTTGTTACTTCTCCAAGGCCATCCAGCAAGGCAACTGTAGAATCCTCTTAAAGAGAAAGACTAAACTCTTGATTAACTACTGGGGGTATCCCTGTCAGAGAAGGAACAATATGAATCACTGCATATGTATCAGGTTACTAAAGTGTGCCCAGCTCTGTATTTGGTACTTTAGTTGGGGCATAAGGAGTAAGACATGAATTCTGTTCTCTGTATCTTTGATATGCTGCTTCTTTTACTTGGAATTACTTCCAATGCATTTATGTATGTCCACATACTGTTGTTCTACTAAGGCCCAACCCGAAAGTTTACCCTGGCAAGAAGATATCCATAGCCTTATCCAGATACCCCTTCTCCCTCCTCTGAATCCCCAAAGCATTTTCATTGTTCCTGTTTTACAGTACTCATCATCATCTGCTTTAACTGCTCCCAAAGAATGAGCACCTGTATTTTACTCAGTTTTGAATCACTCAGAATGCTCAACACAGATTTAAAATATAATAGAGCCCCAGTAAGTACTGGATGGATGGACAGATGGATGATGAATATAGATGTATGAGTGACTGGGAGAGGGAGTAGATGAAGAGATGGATGTGTGGATGGATAGGAGGTTTATATTGGTAGATGGTGAATGGATGGATGAACAGTTAAGTAGATGATCAGACAGGTGGATAGAAATGTATAAATGGGTAAATGAGCTGGTTCGTAGGTAGGTGGATGGACGGGTGAATGAGTGCATGAATGAATCTATGGGCAGCTGAGTAGAACAGTATGTAGGCAGAGAGTGAGGTTGGTGAATGGATGGATGAATATATAGATAGTAGTGTGGGTGAATGGGTAGATGGATAATTGCATGATTGTATGAGAAATGTCAGGGTAGATGTTAAGAATTATGGGGAAGAAACATGGAGAT